ACAGAGAAACCACACACCAGGCACACTGGCTTTCCTCCTTTTCCGACAGTGAACATGTACTTGTCTTCCCACTCTGAATTAAATTCCCGACACTCCACACTGTCATCACCTTTGCGTTTTCTCGAACTTGGCTTGCTGAAACTCATTTTTGTTCACGGAACGTACTGAAAACCCCTCAAGTTGGAACAACTGAGAATGAAAGAAGGCATGTGCACCTGCGCATGAAGTTGCTTTGGCTGTTCCGCAACTGGAGGAACCACAAAAGATAGAGCTCGACGCTAATTCCAGCCGGCTCGTTAGGGCCTTGGTCGAGGTGCACCCCGTCGAGAAAGGGTTCACCTTATTGTAAGCAGATTATGAAACAAAACAAAATAAAGAAAGTTCCAGGACAGGATTATTAACTTCCCCACCTCCTGACCTCCCCCTCGAGACGATAAGAATCGCTGCTTTTGCTCGGCTTAGCCCAGGTCATTTAGATGTGGCCCCTCCAGTTGCAATACAGCCAGAATATTTTTGTTTCTCCCTTAGTGCCTCGCGGGCCAGTTGGAAGCACCTCTCGGGCCACTTCTGGCCCGCGGGCCACAGGTTGGGCACCACTGATCTAGAAGATGGTTGGTCTTGTGGCACATTGAATTGACAAGTCCTTTTTGGGGTTGAAAAATTTGTCTCTCTGAGAACCAGCAATATGAAAGACCCTAAAAAGTTGTTAGGCCTCAAATCATTCAACTGGTTAAAGAGCTTATTTAGATAATCGTTCACTGCACTTCAGCACCTATGATGTGATTGGCAAGTTTTAGTCATGGAATCTGTTGTGAGTCTCCCAAATCAGTGATTCTCAGGAAGACTCTCCCATCCCAAAAACAATGCTTCACGACAAATTCTTCCCCATAATTTATTTTTAACCTTTAATATTTCTATTTAAAATGTTTCAATTTTTCTTCACTAGAAATTCCAGAGCTGAAAACTGGTCTGGCCTGTGTCTTCCACCAGTGCATAAAAGTGACCTTTAATGAAAAATGCAAAAAAATTATAAGAAATATACACCAAATATTTAATAAATTACCCCCACTGCCTGAGCAAATCCATGAAATTGGATCAACTACAGGAGGAACTAATCGTGGTGCAGGAACTTTTCAGATGCCCCTCATATTCAATATGACATAAAATCGTGGGTATACATGATATTGCTCCATAGTGAAAGGTCAGATTGTGAGCTTATACTCAACTTTCCATTGGAATTGTGAAAGAAGGGATTGTACTTTTTCTTTGAGCATACCATTCAGAATAAGTTTTTCTTTGTTGGTCAAAGAGTACTTGTCCTGCTCTGATCTCAGCCAGCCAAATCTCACTGAACACCTATATACAGTCATAATGGTCCATATAGTGAACGTGAACCAACTGGTAATTTTAAGACTTTTCCAAGATTCTGTTTGGATAGGATAGCCCAACTTATCTACGTGTGTAGTGTTTGCTTGTTTGGCATTGCTTCAAACTCCCTCTCATACTCTTAAAGCATTCTCATTAGTCGTTGAGCATGGCCAACTAGGTGATCTTGCCAGAAGAGCATATTCAGTAGTTTCAGACTTTGTGTTCACATCAGGAACAGTTTCCTTGTCTGTGTCTCAAGAAATAATTGACCATTGCCACTGGATCTTTTCTCCACCTTGTGTAATGGAGTAGGTGATTACCATTTGAACTTGCTATTTGACAAGGTTTGAAGTTGAAGTATGCAAAAGTTTTATGAAATAGTATTTACCATAAAATGAGAAAGTTGGAAGCATTCCCAAAAAAAATTTTAGGGGGCATCCATCAATTAATGAACAAGAGCATTCAGTTATAGATAGGAGGCTTAAAAGAATGACCAGCTTTTACATGATGAACTGAGTTAATATTTCTGATTGTGAGACACCATTCCATATCAGCAATCAAAATTCTCAGATATGGAATCCCCCTGACTATTTCATAGGGTTAAGCACCTGGTTAAGCACCATAGGGTGCTTAACTAGACTTGTCATTCAGGTGCCATCAGCAAGAAAAGAATCTGCTGGGTTGGTTAGATCCCATATGCAGTGCATGCTGTTTACAGAGAGCTTATTTTCATGAGGTCACGCAAAGATAACATGTAGAAGTGGATGCAACCCTCTACCAACCTTATTTTCATTATCACTGAGAAGAAAAAAAATTTATTGCTTCAGCTTCATCTGTTGAGCTTCTGGCTTCCTTTATTTGTAGGTATGTGAGGATTTTGATCAGGAATATACTTTATAATAGATAAAAGTAAATATGATCCAACTACAAATTTTTGAGCAACCTTTGTCTATTGTAATATTGCAGGAATAACTTTTCCCCCTAGAATTTGGCCATTTCACATGTATTGGTGACAGGACAAATGCTCAAGGGTAAGGTGGGATGGGATAGTGGGTCCTACTAATTACCATAGGAGTTATTCACTAGAATATAGAACAAGAGCTCCTAATGTTCCCAAGGAGAATCTAGTGAAGTTCTAAGGTCTGTGTATGAGTCTTCCATAATTCTAATGCATGTCATTTTATTTTTATATTTTCAGTATATAGGGTACTTGCTAGAGAAGAATGAGGGACCAGAAATCATAAGGGATGTGTTTGAGAGAGCATGCACCATTCATTTGCCCAAGAAGATCAATATCAACCTGAAATGGTCTGCTTTTGAGGAAGGTCAAGGTAAGGCCTGCAACATGATTTCTCTCTCATATCTACAGTATTTTTGTGATTGAATCCCCTTGGACAATGTGTGATGCTGTAAAAACCCATGAAGGAGGAATATATGGGCCTTTTTGACTAGTTATAAGTTGCAAAGATGTTGGTAGTTTGGCTCTTACATGACTGAAGAGCTTGAGTCATGGTATGCTACCAAGCCTACCAGGGCAGATGCAAAATTGAAGAGTAACAGTGCTTATGTGCTGATTGAATCTGCTGCAAGGTTTTTTAAACTAAGATGAGAACTTTATTATACTTGCCAGGGAACTTTGAAAAGGCATTGGATGTCCTGCAGACATTGGAAGGAAATATGGGACCAACAACTCAGGTTGCTTTTCGCTGCATCAACCTCTGCAGACGTAGCAATCAGCTGGAAAATGCTGAAGCCCTTTTCCACAAATACATAGATTATTATGAGAGAAAGCAACTGAATCCAGAGGCATGCAGTTTCATCCTGAAGTACTCTCGTTTTATCTATCGGGTTTGTACTGCTCTGTCTTTTCTTCTTGTAAACTCATGAGGGGGTATCATTGATTGTAATTTTTTATGCAGGTTTTGCAAGATCCTGAGAAGGCCATGGCCATTTTACGTGATGCCATCATCAAACACAAGGTGTGTGACCTTCCAGTTGTGTGGGTTGGATGTTTGTGTGAGGTGTAATGCAGTTCTGTAAATTTTCCACTCAACATAGCAGGCACATTTTCCAGTCTGGTTGGTGACAAGCAAACAAGACATCCACACTTTACCCACCCCCTATGCCTGTGTTTGTGGAAATAATTAATTATAAACTCTTAGGTGCACATTTTTGAACCTGAAATATAACTAGTGGAAAAAATTGAAATAGAAAATAATTGAACTAATAGCCCTTATAGTTGGATGTTGAAAGGCAGTCATTCATTCTACCATCTTGCTCTTTTGATTGCTTTTCAACTTTTTTACCATGCATATTCAATGCCTTGACCTCTCTGTCCCCAACTGGTATCAACATGTCTGGGTTTTTTAAAAAATTAACTAACTATTCATTTCTAAAGGATTTCTTCCATTTCCTGTCTTAGGATACCTGAAAATTAAACTATCTTTTAAAAGATAAAAAGGCCTGCAGATCTATACAACTGACTTAATTTGAAGGTATTCTGATGCAGGAAATTTTTCAGTTGTTGAAATTCACTCCACAGGGAGGCCCATTAGTCCTTTACAGTTATGGGGGGTGGCTTTGCATCCAAAACCAACTTAGCTTTAAATGTTTTTCTTTCAAGGATTTGAAGATTCTTCTTTGCTGATGCCTCATTCCCAAAACATATTTAAAAAATAATTCCTTATTTCTAAATGTCTTTCCTCTAGTTCCTTTCTCAGGCACCAAAACACTACCACATGCTCTTAAACCATAAATGGACTTTATCTGCAGGCATTTCTAACTCAAGACTGATTATCTGGGGACAGTTGGTATGGTAAATGCTAAAAACGTTGACCTTGATGCATTGCATGTGAGCACACAGTACTGCCACACATAGTAACAATATGGTTGTAATACGTTGCCTTCTTTCATCACTTCCCAAACTCATAAAGGACTTATGGACCTCCCTGTACATCATCCAGCTCAAAATATAATTGGCACTGAATCTAGAATGTATGTGTATCATAGGATAACCCACGGATACACCTCCAAGCTGTGGATACCCTTCTGCATGACTACCCCAACACAGAGAAGGAGATAGTTGGTATCTTCGATGCTGTTGTGCAGAACCAAGATTTCCCCCCACAGTTCCGTCTCCTCTTCTCCCAGCGCAGGGTCGAGTTCCTGGAAGACTTCGGCACTGATGTATCCAAGTATGTCACCCTGAACCATTTTCTAACTCATCTTTGGAAAGAGACATACTGGGGATGCTTGCCTTACGAGATTCTTGATTTTCCAACACAAACCATATATTATTGCATCATTGGGGTTTATTGTGAGGGAGAACCAAGAACCATGTGACTCCTAGTCAACTCTTATCACTTGACTTCCAAACAAGGTCTTTCATGCATTAGACAGATGCAAGTTATTACTCACCTGGAGGAATAGCCATTCCTGTGCAGAAAAAATCTCAGCAAGGTAGTCACTCCAGGCTGCATCAGAAATAGTTGTTATTGTGTTTACTAGCAGTTTGTGTTCAAATTATTTTTTCTCCTGTAGGCTACAGGCGATGATGGATGCACATCTATCTCTCCTTCGTACACTGCGAGAAGACCGAAAGAGAACTTTGGATGAGGAAGACAAATTGTACGTATCTTCATATCTTTTCCCTTTATTCTCTTTAGCAGGGCTGCAAGATCAACTGATTAACCTATCCAAGGAATTGAGTAGAGTTTTACCATTTTTCATGATAATCATGATAATTAAATCTGGGTTACTCCTCAGAAACTCCTTGCAGCAGTTGGGGTTGCATGCAGGGTGGGTAGGCAGTTTCTATGCCAGTATTTTGAAATAGGAAGATGGGGCTACATAGAAAAATGTATCTCAGATTTATGAGCAGAAGATTGGTTCCTTCCATTCAGAAAGAGGAATATGTGCAATAGACTTGAGCTAGTAGGGTGGCTGCCAGGGAACACCAGTCACAGGAGGGGTCAAATAGGTGAATGAATGAATAGGAACCCATATTCCCATGCAACTTTGAAGCTTAATGTTTCTTCTCCCAAATTTGGGGAGGGAAGCATGGGTCATTCGTCATTAATTTAGTAAATAAAATTCAAAGTTTTACTGGTTTATAGTTGATGAGAATGAATAATCATTTCCATGTTGCCAACACTAATGTTCAATTGTCAAGCAATATCATTGACCTGAATGTGATGATTGCTATAATCATCTGATGTTCTCCTTAATCATAGCAGTCACAGGTGCTTAAGATCACACCACTTCTCAGCCATGCTTGAATTGTTTTGCCCAATCATACACTTGTGCCCATGACAGACACTCATCCCTGAACTGTTGGTTCAACTGTGAGTAAATATCAATTGGTTGTGCTCCTTTCATGAATAATTTAATTATAATGTGCTGTTCAATGGTAGGAGACACCTGTGGATGCCATATTGAATTTTGTTAGCAAGGATGATGTAATGAACATGCACCTCTGTAGAGCATGGTTGCTCTGTAGATGCATGTAGAGCAAGGTTGCCAGTCCCTTGCATTGCAATTACTAGCCCAAAACCTGGAATGTAATTTTCAATAAATATTCAGTCTTGTTCATGTTTGAAGCACCCTCATGCTTTTGGGGTATATTGCCAGGGAGTCTGATGTTATTTCAATACAATGAAATGAGCATTTGGAAATTTGGTAAATATAGTTTTTTTTATGTTGAGTTAAGGGAATGTCATTAGGTTTGGGCATGGCACCCTGGAGGCCCTTTTTTGGCTTGGAGGAGTAGGTAACCCTAAAATTTTGTGACCATTTCAAGTTTCAAACTTGCTTGTACTTTTATTTTTATTGCCTTAATATCTTTAATCATAATCAGATAAACTTATAAATGTGGTTATGTCACATGTCAGGTGAAAACTTAAGTTTAGGACTTGGTATACATCAGGAGAGGAAGAGTAATTATATTGTTATGTATTATTTTGTTTCTGTTACACAGGGATGCAGATCAGCCAACAAAGCGAACAAGGACATCTTCATCATCGTCCTCATCATCCAGAGTTAATTCAAAGTCATTCCAGCCACAACAAATCTCCACTACCAGTCAGCAGAAGGGAGCCACTGTGCCATCCAGTCAAAGCTATGCTTATCAATATCAAACCCCATACCAGCATGGCTACTCATACCCTTATCCTTATCAGAACTGGAACTATGGATACAACTACTCACAGGGTGGCTGGGGAGGCTACAGTTATTACCAGCGTTGACTTCCATTCTGGCACACATATTTCTTATTTCTGTCCCCCTTTTGTTGTAAGATATGTAAAAGTCATCTGGGTTTCTTATTCATCAAACACCCTTTGTCTGTATTCTGTGTTCTCTGCCTTGGAATAAACTGGTCAATTTTAGTGGAATGAAGGTATGTGTATTTTGTATTTGTTTCACATGCTCATATTGTGAAGATGGGATGGGAATGGATATGAGTGGACACGACCCTGTTCACGCTGAAAGATTTCAGGTGCTGAGACTTGAAGTTCTCTTAAACGTGCTTCAAGGACACGTACAGAGACACCAACTTCATTCATACTCTTCTGGATGTTGTGTTCATCTGATTCACTCATCTGTCCCAGATGTGCTTGGTAGTTCCGTTCCATATTTTGCATCTCCTCCATTTTCTGTTTAAAAATATAAAAAGGAATGATAGAAAAGGGCATTCTCCCGAAATAACATTGATAGGATAGAGTTGAATGAAGGGAACCTTGTCTAGCTGAGATTGCAGAAAGTTTGCCCTGTCAGTGATCCTGCGTCTGATATCAGCTAGGTAACCAGCACACAACTCCAAGGCCTGCTCTCTCTCCAGCTTCACACCATCATCCCAATTCTTTTTCAGTTGCATCAGGTATGGCCTGAGTGGATCATTAGCCACGTCCTTGCCAGCTGACTGGTCTCGTTCCTCTTGCTCCTAGAATGAAAATTTAGGATCATAACTCATTTGAAGTCCTTTGCATAACTTGAGATGGCTTTGAGTGGTGAGGTGCTTTTTGTGATTCATTTTCTCTCTTACCTTCCTGAGTCTGAAATCACGTAGGGTTTGATTGTGAAGCCGATCAAACGGAGAGAAGGTGAGGCACAGGGATTTCTTCTCTTTTTCTCGCGTTGCCAGAAATTCCTTCATCTCTGCATGACTCCTACAGGTGGCTTCTATGCCAGCTTTCTGCCTATCCCACAATCTCTCCAGTAGCTGACAAAACTCGAGTCGTCTTCCTGTCAGCCCTTCCTTGTTTCCCTGACGTAAATATAAGTTAGGCCAAAGGAATGTCTAGCGGCGGGTGAAGTATTGGACGCCATTTATTATATTGGAAAATTATACTTCCGTCACAATGTCCACAATATTGGATACTTTGGTGCGCAGTACTCAATGATATGACCGACTTAATAAACCCCGATATGGTCATTTGAGAGTTAACTGAAACTACTAAATGCAGTGCTGTACATCGTTTTACGAAAAAAAAGTAATTGGCCCAAAGGGTCAATGAGGAGCTGATATTCCATGCATTTCAACGGCTGAGTGCGACACGCAAGATACCGAAGACTACTTGCATAACTATCCATCTGGAGATCTGGGGTGGATTGCATAATACTGACTTTAGCGTAATGAAGCTTTAAACTTTCATTAGCATCGCTAAAGGAGGTTTAAAGCTTTATTACGCTCAAGGTAGTTTTATGCAATCCACCCCTGGTGTTCAGACTAAAGGGCTTCCCAAAAGTAGGTGTCATTTTAAATTAGGAAAAAAACGCAATTAATTTTGAAAAAGTGCTGCTATTTTTATTTCAATCTAAAGTACAAACATGGAGGTTAAGTGTGAAATATGATATCATTTAAATGTCCGCCTTGACCCTTCTGGCAAATGATCATCCTTTCAACGAAGTTTTCATGACTTTTTTGCACATTTCTGGTTCAATGTCACGAATAACAGCTCGAATGTTGTCTTTCAATTCCTGAGTCGTCTTGGGACCAATAGCATAGACTCTCCCCTTCACGTATCCCCACAGGAAAAAGTCCAACGGCGTTAAATCACACGATCTAGGCGGCCAATTGATGTCCCCATTTCGTGAAATAACGTGACCAGGAAATTTCTCACGCAATAGCCCAATTGTTTCGCCAGATGTGTGGCATGTAGCGCCGTCTTGTTGGAAATAAAGGTCGTTCAGTCCATAGCTTCCAATTCAGGCCATAAAACGTCGACTAACATCGCACGATAACCCATTGATATTGATAGCCCATTGACCGAAACCACTTTTTCCTGCTCATTTTCGAAGAAATACGGCCCAATGACACCACCAGCCCATAAACCGCACCAAACTGTCACGCGTTGGGGATGCATTGGCCGCTTCAGTATCTCTCTTGGGTTTTCTGAGCCCCAAATGCGGCAGTTTTGTTTGCTAACATACCCGTTTAGATGAAAATGGGCTAGTCGCTCTGGATAATTTTGTTGCGAAAATAATCGTCAGCTGCACTTTATACGGGTGGAGATGAAGGTCAAGATGCAAAATTCGATGCAGACTGCTCGTTGAAATGTTCAATTGTTGAGAACGCCTTGGTATCGACATGCCTGGATCATTGGCGACACTTTCTTCAACTGCGTGAAAATTCTCGGTTGATCTTGCAGTACGAGGACGCCCAGACTTCTTTTGGTTCGTAACAGACCCGGTTTGCTCAAATTTATTGATTATTTTCACAATCGCACTGCGACTTGGTGCTTCATGATGACCAAATTTAGTACGAACTTTCCGAACCGTTTCTGCGAAACTTTCACCATTTTTATAGTGAATTTTTACTATTTATATGCGTTGCGCGACTGTGTATCGTTCCATTTTCACAAACCTCCTAATTTTTAGCTGTCACCTGTCAAATACTGACGTTCAAACTTTGACCGTTCAGAAATGCCGCGAAATTTAAAATGACACCTACTTTTGGGAAACCCTTTATATACATTCGGCAAATATATATTTAAACTACAAGTAATGTTTATTTGTTTACAAGTTTACATGCTAGAGTAGACCTATAATTGCTTCTTACTTGAATTGCGTATGTATCTCATTTACGTCCTTTCTTTTGCCTTGTTCTTGGACAACACTGTTCATCAGGAGAGGAATTGGGCTTACTTGGACACTGTAGTGGTGAACGTTGTCCATAGAGAATTCCTCCAACCTTCCTCTCTCGTCTGGTGAGGGCACGAGGAATTCCGTTGTGGACTGGCTTATTTTCTCCCTTTCACGATGGTATTCCACTCGGATCTTGGAGTTCTCCAGGTCATAAGTGACCCGACTCCATTTCTCACCTTCTCCTTCATCGTATTCCTCTGTCATTCCCTGCCAAGAAGCGCCATATCGCGGATCATGAAGCGACAATTCAGGGATGTGCAACCCGCGGTACGCATGTAGCCCGTGGACCTACTTCTAGCGTCCCGGTAATGCGTAATGGGATGACAGATAAAATAAGTTCCTTTGCTGCGCGAGGTCCATCATAACTTCGGTCATCCCTCAGGAATTAGAAATAGACTGTGAGTCTTTTCACTTCCCCCAATTATTCCTCACGCCGTTCTCGATGCCAAGATTATTTTTGAGCGTTTGAATTTCCTACGGGTGGGGAAGAGGTGTGGGTCGTCGGTCAATCAGCGCGACCGTATGCCCTCATGGCATAAGAGGAGAGCCTTTTTTTGGGTTCAATGAGGAGTTGAGACAATTTTGCTGGTCAATCACCAACTTTAGTTCACGATTGACAGTCTTCACTGCGAAGAGCTTTACTTCAGTCATCTACTTGATTACAACATAGATGAAAAAGACGTTTATTCTAGTCACCACTTCTCATTCTAGTCCCAGGTGAAAAGAGGATGATTATAAAGTGTGAATATACGAGGGTGGTTCAAAAAATGTTGACCAAAAGGGTGAAAGAAATGGTTTATGAAAATAAATTTTGTTTTATTGCATTAATAAACTTTCTAGAACCTTCCAGCAGAAATAACATATTTTGATTCTTTACCCACTACATTTGAACATTGCACTTTGCATTTTCATTGCAGCTATGAATAAGTTGGTTATAATATTTCTCACGAAAAAGGGGCTGAACAGTAACAGTGATTATGTGGAAAAAGTGTAAATATGTATATTGTGGCTTGCAAATGACTGCTATTTGGTCAAAAAATTTTGAACCGCCCTCGTACTTCTATGTATGCAAAAGAGTCGAAAAGGACGAGATATACTGGGTGATCATAAAGTCCCAATCTATTTTATTGTTAAACTCAAAATTCTTACAAAAATGCATAATGTGCACTTCACACTGTCAATAAGGAACTAAATAAAACTGGTGATAGTAAATTAAAAATCAGGTATAACATTTTTTTTTTACTGAAGTTCCACATGATCACCTTTCAAATCGATGCATAACTGGAATTGATTCGTTGTTTCCCTGAACATTCAGGATGTGCCGCATGTCAGGGATTATGGTGTTAACAGCAGCATAGATACAATCTCTTAAATCTTCAACATTGAGAACCTTTGTGCTGTAAAACTTTGACTTAATGTACCCCCATGCAAAAAAAGTCAAAGGGGGTTAGCTCAGGGGATCTTGAAGCCCAAATTTCATTTCGCGAACATTGTGCTAGATTATCTAATGAGAGGTTCCCGAACCATTGGATTGGCCGAGGATCGAACAGAATGTTGGCTTCAGGATAACCTGACATAACCCCCTTGGATTTTTTTGCATGGGGTACATTAAGTCAAAGGTTTACAGCACAAAGGTTCTCAATGGTGAAGATTTGAAAGGTTATCATGTGAAACTTCTGTAATAAAAAAAATTCATAACTGATTTTTAATTTACTAGCACCAGTTTTATTTAGTTCATTATTGACAATGTGAAGTGCACGTTATGCATTTTTGTAAGAATTTTGAGTTCAACAATAAACTAGATTGGGACTTTATGATCACCCTGTATAATCTAATATAATACGAGTAAAATCTCGTAGTAAATGGATAATAAAATATAAAAACTTTCCGTAAACTTAAAGAAAAACGGTATTTTGGTATAAAATAAAAACGTAGAGTAGGCATAAATACGGTATGCCTAGATATAGTCGATGCGAGCCCGTCAGTTGTCGATTTATAACTTGTTTAACAAGTTTTTAAAATGATGTCTCATCAGCTCTCATTCTCAACACGGGAGACTGTCATCTGCCTTGATTTCACTGCAAGTGATCATTGAAGGGCGGTGATGTGAGGCTTTTTCGAGATATGTAACATAATAGAATCTTCTATGATGAATGAATTGAATCGAAACTTTCTAATCATGATGACCTTGAGCATTTCATATATCAAAATGAAACCTTGTGAAAGCCAGGATAATCAGACTACCTTGAGCCAGATGATTCGAGTCGCAAAATGAAAATTGCGATTCAAAATTGAGAATTCGAATATTTCGATAAACTCAGAGTCGAATCAAGTTTCCAACCACGAATCATGGATAGCGATTCGAATCCGTACATTGCTTTTGAAAGGAAGTGCGGGAAATTCTTCCTGGCTGTTTGAGGAAAGAGCGACCAGAGACCTTCTTATGAGCTTCCTCCAAGCGTTCAGAAGTAGTGAAAGGAACATTCTCCGGACGCTGCGGAAGACTATGGTCCCTCATATTGTCAATCCCTTATTTTTTTTTTAATCTTGTAAACGGAGGGGCCTTGGTCTGAAGGAGTCGTAAGTGGAATTGGAGAAGAAAGTGAGTTCCACTGACCTTGAAATGTGAAGTAGAGAGACTGTTGGAAGGGAGTGGAAGATGAAAGGAAGCCTGACGACGAAGGAGGTGGTTTGGTCTCCCCGAGAAAGAATCCGTGAACACATGCTTCCCTTGTGGGGAAGTAGAAGAGCTCCGTTCCCACAAGCCATCCTCTCGTCCTCCTTCCATGTATTTCACTCTGTGACTGGCTCCAAGCCCATCCTCGAAATTCGCCTCCGCCCAACTGTGTTCTGCAAATTTCCATTTTGACCGTGCTCGATGTCTGTACCTTGAACCCAAGTATAAGATGAAGCTATCGTGATCTTCATTACAAATAAACCTTTATCGGACGAAAGGGGCAACTGCTGTTCCGCAGAATGTATTTTTCCATGGACTAAAGGTACAAATACTGTACCGCAACTTTTTGAGAAAATGTTCTGTTACTATGCCAATAATGGCTTCACTGTCAACAGTTTATTTTTTAAATAGAAAAGTTGCACTATTCAGCTAGCGAGTGTTTACTAGTTGGGTGGAAAAAAAAATCCGGCTACCAGCGCTTACACGAGATATTTAAATCCGTACGATGAAGGTTAAGCTAATTTAACGCGTTTCGGTGCCTAATTATGTTTTCGAGGAACATGAACGGTAATGAAATGTTTTAAATGATTGCTGCTATGTAAAACCAAAAAGGGAGCTCGAAAATACTCGGAACGCAAAAAAAAAACGGTCAAGGGTTATCTCTCTTTTTGACATCCCCAAGCACAATCCCTTATCAGAGGCTCTGTCTTGTTGCCGCACGACTGATTCCGATGAGGAGACTTCATGTAGGTCCCTTTTGAAGAGCACTTTTTCCGTGAACCTGAGTGTGGTCTCTACCCAAAAGCCCAAACCTCCCTCTCAAGTTTATGGAAGTGCTCCTACGTACCGAGGAGTCCATCGGGCCTGTCCTGGAATCGGTGGGTGATCCATCCCGTGGTAAGGTCTTGAACCTCTTCGTACAGGCGGTCGCTCCGATGCAAATACTTTTTCACCACCATCTTCTCTTGGTCACTTTTGGATTCCTTATCTTCATTTCCATCGGTATCCTGTTTTGCTCTTCGATAGACGAGGCCGTCCTTCTCTACGTAGGGACCCGTTCTTTCAACTAGAAACTCCCCGTATCTTTCCATCTTCCTTTGCCCCGGGTACGGAGTTTCCATGTCTGCGGAACGGGCGAGACCGCGATGATGATCAAGTGTGGGAAAGGTTCCTGGAATAAGATCGGAACGCACAGATACCTGAGAGGGAGAGGTAAAGAGATTGTGACGCCATATTCTCGGACTGGGTTCCAAGGGGACACTGGACGCAAAGCCACTGCTGCCGATCTTGGAAGTCAAAATTTTCGGCCTGGCGGAGGAAGAAAGGAATACGTCATGAAATTGCTCATTTCCTTTTCTGGAGTTTCGATGGACCTCTAAGAAGACGTAATTCCCATTCTGTCTCTCCTATCTGCCTGTTATAAACACTCTTGGTGACACCGAAGTGATTATCTGATGACTATTATCATTGATTATTATAATTGATTATCTGATGACTATATACATCGAACCAGTTATTCTACGTACAGTATTTCCCAGAGACATTTACAGGCCATTTGATTCTGCCCTAAGACTCACCTGGAGGCGTTCTTGAAGGTTCACGTAATACGAATTGTTGTTCCAGAGACTCTCGATCCCCAAGTATCCCGGATGGGAGACATCCCGCTTTTCCCCCAGCGTAGCCTCTATGAAGAAAGGCTTCCCATCCGATGTCCCTTCCATCTGATTGGCTCGGGGCAGGACCAGGACCCAGCTGTGAACCCACCCTTCGTGCTCGCGCTCCTTTGTTTCTCCCTACGAATAGCAATTGTGAAGATTCTAAGGTCGACCTTGCTATCGGCTTGTAGACCCCCTGAATTGCCACACGTCGACTATTAGATATATCATCAGACTGGCTAAGACATCTATAGTGTTCTAGGTATACCAGATTTGAAATCAGTACTCCACGGCTGCACCAGCTAAGGTTGCACATATTCCGCATACACGTGCATTTGGTTTTCTGACTAATGACACCTGGATTGGTCCCGAAATATCGACGGAATGCATTGCAGTTATGCTTTTCCTCTTGATACGACTAGCGAGTGTTCGGGCGACCACCAGGAAAGGTATCTTCCAGTATTGTACCTCCTATGGTATAGCTCGCAAAATTAAACTTGTGCGAACTTTCGATTTCTTAAGACTACCAGGATAGCTGAGTATAGCCGAGAAAACGAACGCAGCTTCGATAAATTCCTATGGGATTAGCATTGATCACCATTGTGGATTCTCCTTCGTCGATACCTCCTTGCTTCTCTTCTCTTTCTCTTCTCCTCATCTCTTCTTCGTATTCACTGAGGAATTCCGGACGGGGTTTCACTGCATACCTCAATACCTCCTCTTTCTCTCCTCTCTTTCCCACTTCGTCCTGCCTTCCATATAGTTCACGTGAAAGCGATCGTGTTCACGTTAGCAATCAGTAAAAAGTACCAGTAGAAAGTACAGTGCAATAGATAAATTTTTCCCTTGCCTGCACCCGGGCTTCAAATGCAAAGTCGGAGGAGAATGAGGATCGGTCCTGCGTGGCTACTTCTTTAGTTGCATACCCAGATACCACGTATGCATTGTAACAGGAGCCCAAGAGAATGGAGACGAGGAATGCATTCCATTCGAAACTGTTCCCCCTGCGATCTTTCAGGAGCTGGACAGGAGACTTCACTGTGGTCGGCTGCTCATTCAACAAAAAATGCGGATAGGTCGGATAAATGCTCTGCTAAGCTGCACGAGACGAACAGACCAGTTGATGTGGAAGAGAAGGAGGATCATAAAGACAGAGGTCAGCAAGAAGGCGTGCAGAGCCCTGCCAGTCGAGAAACGCTGGATGTGGAATCGCTGACGGTATCACCGTAGTGCATACGAACTTCTGCAACAGAAAGAGCACTTCAAAAAAGAGGGCATTTAAAAAACCATAAATTAACCATCAGAAACGGCGCAGGTCCAGATAATGGACCTGTGCCGAGATAATGGTCTTGGAATAATTTCCTATTCCTATAGATCAGCGGTTCTCAAATCTTTTGGGTCCACGACCCCGTTTCATGGAAGCCAAAAGCTTGCGACCCCCAATTTTCAGGTTGAAGTACATGTACATCCAGTACATGGTATAGAAAAAGTTGATGGAATAAACATCCTGGGCTGCTCATTACAGCGAAATGAAAACGCAATGTAACTCTTGCTTATATTTTTTTAAACTTAAAAAGGCATTGAAAACATCATTAATCAGCGCTACTTATTATTCAGTGTAATGAGTGTGCCTGCTTTCTTGAACAAATGCGATCCGAACGAGGCACAATGCTGCTGATTCTCATCCGCAGGTCATCAACAGTGATTCTGTTACGATATTTGCTTTTGATGACTACCAAAGAAGAAAATTCAGATTCACAAAGGTATTTTGATTCAAAAGGTACTCCAAAGCTTCACCCCTACAAAATCAGTATTATTAATAACCGGTCAACATCTAATATCCGAACTGGAAAAGGCTATAGTCTCGGGCTTTCTCCATAAGAGGTTAGTGCTGCCGGGTCCACAATCATATAACTCATACCCACACACTCCACCTCTGAGGACAGCTTTGCCCTTACTCACCCCCACCCCAGAGGGGTGAGTAAGGGCAAAGTTGTTGCCAGAGATGCTATTATTAGAGTAGCAGTGGCTCTACTTTCACCTGAGTTTCGACTATACCCCTAATGTTTACTGGGTTATTCCTCAAACGGAGTTTCTTTTCACTAAAAGGAAAAAAATCCTCTTACATTTTTCTCTCGGAAAACATGGCTCGACTGGCTTCACGAAATCTTCCACGATTTCTTAATTATCTCCATTCCCACAGAACCGCTGCTATAGATACATGAACATCTGGCCTACTACTTTCGAGTGTTTGGAAGAGTCCGTACTTTTTCCATCTTCAAGTAGGCAGAAAAAGAAATTACCTCGAGTAATTAAAGTTTCATCCTGCAGTTTAGTAAGATAGCCTGGAAGAGTGATGACTAGAGAGCGGATTTTTATGCGCTAATAGGTTAAAAAATATGCACATACATATGCACTTTAAAATGCAAAATATGCATGAATGCGGGAAAATCTGCAAAAAACATGTGTTATTTTTAATGCAGTACGAATTTTTCGGAAGAAGGAACTTCAATCGACATTTCATGTCTCTACTGGGTATAGTTGATCTATTCACAGCAGCAAAGCCAGGAACTCGACAATGGAGGGATAAAGGAAACAAACGGGGACCGGGACTTCCTTAACTTCTCGGCAGTAGCAGATGCATTTAGGGCAGAGTTAGGGCCCCCCCCCCCACCCTCTACGCTACTGGTCACAGTTTCAATACATTAACGCTGGAAAATTTTCATTGGTAGCTCTTAAAGAAAACACATTTCCCTGGAACACCCTAATTTGTCCCATAAAAATGTGCGAAATATGCACAGATATACATGAATATGCAGATGCTGAGAAAAAAAACCAAAATATGCATTTTTTAAATGGCAGAAATCGCTTCCTCTACCAATAAGGCATGATCCTACTTGGGTTGCATGTTCCTAGGAAGCTGCAGAAAAAAAATATGCATTTGCAGAAAAATCCGCTCCCTAGTGATGACTTTGCCCATAGGCAAAGTTCTAATCTCACAATATAAAAATCTAACGATAATAAAGGATATGGCTGGCTTTTGCCCTTTGAAGTGAAGGAACGAAGGGAGAAAGTTTCTCCAAAGTGAACTGTGGCCAATCCTCATTAGAGAAACCTGATACTCAAAAGCATGATCTCACCGGAACTCCATGTTCGTTGAGGGGAGTGAGGAGAAGAGCTCTTCTCTTGGGGAAAAAATGTTGATATTGTCTCCGGAAGTTTTCAACATAGCGAAGTGGATGTGCATCCTCGACTTTGGGTTGCTTCCCTGCTTTTGGCATCCTCTGCCTCTTCTGCGTGCCATTGACTGCACGAAAGAATAAAATTTAACCGAAAATCATGCGAGTTCTGGTTCCCTGTTTTTTGCTGAGGACAGTAACATGAACGTATTACTAGGCGTCCAAGTTCCCGATTTTCTAATGACATTTTGGCTAGGCGTTTACAGATCTGGAGAAGGGGCGACTTCCGCAGATGATGTGCAAACGACAACCAATCCAAGGGCATCTTCGGTTCATTCATGTACAGCACTACCCAAGTAGCCAAGTGGGCCATAAGCTGCCCAGGCACTACACTGGATTTCTGCCAGGCGGGAACGTGACGGCAAGTTGGACATGCAGTTGCTGGCCCGCAACCTACAACACCTCCTACCTACCCAGGGAAGCTCTCTTCCCCAAATGTAGGTAGTGGGCCACAACCTACGTGCTACTTGGGTAATAAATTTGGAAATCCCTATATATCCAAATGTGATGCATTTTCACCAGATTTAAGTTATTGCAATTGACTTGCATGAGGAGTTCCAAGGTTTTCAGCTGAACTTTGGCAACAAGCAGTGAGAAACCCCATTGTCGTCGTACCAGTGAAGAGATACTGAATACGCGCTATCCCTCGCAGGCTAGTATGAGTTTTCAAATCTTCGATCCCGGAAAGAGCGTGAATTCCTTTTAGCGAATTATCCGCCGTCCAAATGAGGACTGACTCAAACGAATCACCCGACGTTGTAATTACGTTCCTGGGAGAACGGCTGAAAGTGCCCTTCCGCGTTCTAGACGCCTTCATCGGGCGTTTTAAAACTGCTGGTGCCGTCATCAAATACATAATCCATTCCACATCCCTTGCCGTCCTCTCAGGAACGATTAACCAAAACTACCTTTTTCTCCTAGCTCCCCACGAACTTCTCCTGTTCCTACACCACTCTTAACTTCTTGCTTGCCAACTCGTACACGTGGGGGATTCCTGCCACCCCTATCCCTACCTCTTGTATTACGACCCATAATAATAATTCTTGGTATGGCCGCTTCGTCGGATGCGTTTTTATCCGGTATAATGCATTATTGCTACAGACACATGATTTTACCGCAAAATAGCGCCGAAACAGATTTAGATGAACGCACCTCTTCGCGAACCTGAGGACAACAACAACTTGTTCCCATGGTAACTGACGAGTAGTGAGTAGATTTATGGGAGATCATTTTGGTTGTCAGACGTAGCTTCAGATGACGACAAAACCCTGTGAAGTTTGATACTGATGTGAACTCAAGCCAACGTCATTTCATGGGAGGGCTGAATCGATCTCCTCTTCCAAGAGGGGTGTGAGACAGTCCCTCCAAGACGGACAACCCTGGTTGCGTTATGGCGGCCTCTAGTGTTGTCCTGCAAAGAAGTCACGTGTGGTGGTAGTGACTTGAGTAGGGCGCGCAGTTTTCCTACGTTAACGTTTGGTCAACAAAGGGCTCACGTAAGCTCAAGTCCTGTGGCTCAACTAACTTCTGTTCCAAACTCACAAGTTACATATGCATTCACCTCCAAGGCTTAATCTTATTTATAAAAATTGAATCTTCATGCAAGAATTTGAGTATGATTCATCATTGAGCCTTGCCCATTTCATACATCTCATGACTTTTATGCTGACACTTCAGGCCCTTTATCAGTTTTGTCTGATCTCGTTCCATCACGATAAATGGGTAGCTGTCAATTCAAGCGTTTTGCTCAACCTAGGCGGGATTCACTTTCTCTCTTGACTGCATATTAAAAACCAGAGAGAGTGGTTGCTGTACACTGCCATCCTTTAGGTTATGAAGTCATTCAATATATAATTCATCATTTAGTATCGTCTTTCTCTTCCTTGAGCAGTGATGTTCATTAACCCTTTGCAATCCAATGTCAAATTGTTTGATTTGCAATCCGTTTCCTAAATTGATTGCAAAGGCTACAACCTGCTGAAGTTGGGTTGGGCATGCTACATTGTCATTGTTAAAATCTCATTGGGCAGGACCATGGCAAAGTTTAGGCCTCCACAATGCATTTATTCCATGCCATGATCAATTAATCCATCATAATTTCCTTGAAAGGAGAGGAATGAAGATCAACAATACTTTAAAATATGTCTGACACTGCAATAGATATTTCTGTTTCATTGTTATGACTTTTATATTTCTTGCAAGGTGGCAGGCCTCTGGCTGGCCTAGCATGCATAATGACCATATCAGATATACACTAGGATTGAGGCCATTCAGATTATATCCAAATAAAGTGGATATGAGTGACCTGAAGCTAGTCCCTGTGAACTTCTCTTGTCAACGCTGTGGGCAACCGCTAAGACTTGAAGCAGGATTCTCTGCTCTGAGTGAACATACCCTTGCAGAACTTTCACGTAAGTCCCCAAATTTCTATTGCAGCACTCAGATCTGGATTAAATTAATCATCTGGAATTGTGCACCTCCCAAAATGGTACCACCCCTTTGGAGGGTATCCTGTAACAACTTTGACTCATTATTGTCTCCTATTCTCACTGCCTGGGAAAGTATAGAAAACAATATACACTAAATTGCATAACTAGTAATTCTCTCATTGCATAAATCTGTGTCATGGTTTTTCTTATTGCATCTGAAATAAATCCTTACTGGAAGTAAAAAGAGCCCTATTTTGTGGAGAAAGAAAGGTTCAGAAGGTCCACAATACATTACCTGCTCTTCCTTTATCATCTTATCTCATGTGTTTGTTTGAAATGTATAGCATGCTTGTCCTACTCCCTCCATTTATGGTTTGACCAGATTATGTGATTTAATTGCAGTGGCTGTAGGTTCTTCAGTGAAGTTTCCTACTGGGCCATCAGGTGAGGCTGCTGCAACATGCAATCTCATCAGTCCAGCTGTGAGACTGAGTGAAGGCAACAATGGCAACAATGGATTCACTTTTGTGGGAAATACTGGAGAAGTTGAAATTGTCAGCCATCAACTCAAGGTCAGATATGTGTTTTGAGCAAACAGCTTAGGCTGGTGTTGTTATGGAGACTTTTTTATTTTTTATGCATGTTACTATAAAAACATTCAAACATAATCTTTCAAAGGCTCCCTTATACTTCCTGTTAAGGGAAAACCTAAACCGCATGCCACTTTTGAGAAACACTTTAAGAGCAGCATTGTCCATTCTAAGAACTCCCAATGAAGCAAAGTGAAAGCCATGCCTTCTACTTCAAAGTTGTCAGTTTGAGTTTAATGCTCATATACAGCCCTGAAAGATCCTGTTGATTTTTTTTTATGGCCATGATATGTGGCATAATAAGTAGCCAATATAGACTGAGATGCTGATCCTTTCATTGTTACTTTCTGCCTGTCTTGTCATGTCCATGAGTAAATTACCCATAATGAGTATTAAGTTGGCAATGCCCAAACACATGAAACTGGACAGTATCAGCTGATTGGAATCCCTCTTGGCCTTGGAATCCTTCCTCCTACTATATACTGGGTGGGGCAAAAGTCAGTTTACCGAAAGTGCATGATTGTAATATATTATTAAAGGTAATAAATAAACCCATATTTGTTTTCCACCATTCCTGCAGAAGAAACACACATTGCTCCATTGTTAGTTTCATACGTTGCTCCATTTCCAATTTCAATCTGGAATAAACAAAAACAAAAATTAAAAACAGGTGCTTATGGTAAGCTGACTTTTGCCCCACCCTGTGTACTCTTTTTTTATTTCCCATGTACAGAAATGTCTGTGTTGTCTCCAGCAATACTTAAGCCTTATAGATACAGCAGTAAACATGATATTACAATGTAATGAAAAGAATACAACACCACTACCCCAGAATACCCCCACCTGATGGTACATCATGGTGCTTCATGACTGATCTTGCAGTTGCTAATATATCTTGACATTTATCTTCATGGTCTTTCACTCCTTAGGTGCAAATAGAGCTGATGGATCTCATGTCAAACACATCAGAAATTGATCACCCATTGTGTGGTGATTGCTGTGATGTACTTGTGGACCTTCTAGAAGGAGAACTACGGGAATCTGAAGTGGAGCTTCAAGAATATAAAGCATTACTAACACGGTTGCAGAGTGAACATAGTGTTGGGAAAGATAAAAGCATAGTTCAGCTTCAGACTGATCTTGAAAAGGTATTTGCTGTTTTTTGCAAGAGCATAATACGCCTCTTAAAGGTATTGTCACTTTGCCATGATGATGCCTCCCACCCATACAGTTCAGTTTTGCATGGCTTGACCACTAGTAAAGTGCAGAAAGACCAGAAAAATTTAAAGAGTAACCTGATGGAAAAAAAGAGAGCAGTTCATAAAGTTATATAGAAGTCATCCATGTCTCCATGATGGTTCTATAAGTGAGAAATTGCTGCAAAGAGATGTAGGGGAGGAAAAAAAAATTATCTCAGCTTAGCCATCTTCATGTCACTTGTTAGAATCTGTTATGTTAAACTTGATGGCTGATAAATAAGCTTGATAAATGTTAAATTTGATGGCTGACAGGAATCACCATTGATTCCTGTCAGCCATCTTGCTTAATCAACATCTGTGATAATCTGCTAATGAGGGAAGTGTTAACATATTAATCAGACACTCTTTATTCCATGTACCTATTATTATTATTATTCCTGTATTGGGTACATCCAAACATTCTATTGTGGTACTTCAATACCACACCCCAAAGTTAACCTCAAACTGCAAAAAATGTTCCTCCAAAAAAGTTCTTGTCATCAGCATGACTTATTGACTATAATAATGTTGTATAATACAATTACTATTCCATTTGGTAATTAAGATCAGCAAAGAATTGATATTCTATAGAAATTCCATTGGAATTCTTGCAGTTTACTGGATGGTATTAGAACAGCAAGCCAGGATCAAAGTAGAATATTGGCACATTTTCTACTGTGTGACAAAATCTTGCTAGGGTGAGTTTCCTAATAATAGTACAGTAGTAAATCAACTCTAGATGAGAAACTCTAGACCTGGCAAGACTTTGATCAGAGAATAAGTTTTTTTTTTACCATCCTATGTTTGAATAATAAATTTTCTTAATGGACACTGTAAAGTATAGGAATTAGGTTGCCATAAAAATAATGGACAGAAGCCTCAAACAGAATGTGCCTATCAGTCATGCATGAATCCAGAAGTGGCTACCATGTCCTTGTCAATGTCCCCATAACCACTCTTGCATACACATCCATCATTGCCAAGTGTCCAACTTCATGTCCTAAAAATTGTATCTTGCAGCCTTATATGATCTGAAATGTAATGACTTCTTATGCTAGATGAAGCTTGAGGAGGAAGCTCTTAAAAAAGAATTGAAGCTGTTGCAAGAGGAAGAAGAGTCCCTGAGAAAGGATATCAGAAATCAGGAGGAAGAAAAACATCGTCTGGAAATAGAAGAAGAGAGATACTTCAGAGAATATGCCAAATACAAACAGGAAGCCATGGTGCTGGAGGATGAATGTCGAAGGTATTCTCCATTTTAGATTATTTTCCCTTTGAAAAGCAAATGAAGTGAATTAAGTCAATTAATGTAAGGATTACAGTGTTTTGCAAATGAATTTGTACCACCTTTAACATTGCACATGATAACTCAATGGAGCATCCAATGCAGTGGCAGAGAAGGTCCAACTATTGTTTCCATTCTGAAAGATAGATGTCTCCCTCCCTCTTCGTAGCACCACATCGAATCAGTCAGTCAGTCTCTTGGGAACTGCTGTACAGCAAAGATGACATCACACAGCCCGTATGAAAAGATAGATGAATCGTTGAGACACAGGATCATTGCCAAGCACCAGTTTGGGCAGTCATGCACTCTCATGGTCCAAGGCCTGGATGTCCATACTCAGCCTACTTCAAGTCTATGTTGGGCTGTGTATTTGAAGATATCTATGGCCATCAACATCCTTGATTTTATTTTTTTTTTCATATTTAGCAGAATCCCTAATCACCTGTAGGTGTGATGGAATACATGATCTGAAGCATGTTCCATAGCTATCCTTCCTTGTATTCAGCTTATGCATGCTTCCTCCCTTCTACAAATACTTGATTGAATCTCTTAAAATTTCGCTGGTGCAATTTCTCATTACACATCTTTCTGGAGCCTCTTGTAAACCCTTTGTTATTCCAACCCATCATTTTCCACACAAAAGGTAAAAACAATTTACTTTATTCTTAGTCTCAACGTTCTCCAATCCACTGTAGTTGGCTCTACATACATTAGATGTCATCCAGGCACTGTGACAAAAGTGCCACCATCTAGGTTGGGAGGATTCCTCCATAGAAAAGCATGGGCCCATGTTAATGGTGGTACAAATTCATTTGTAAAACTGTATATAGGGAATATATTGCATATTTGGAAGAAGGAGGGCAGCAAGGTACCATGGTGCCAATTGTTTGACAAGGCTATAGATAATCTGTGAATTTTGATTTCTTAGGTATTATATATTTATTCCCATGCAATGTTTTCCCCTGGAAAACCATTCCCATGCATGCATATCCAAGACATTTTTTTGTCGAAAATATGGTTCTCTGTCAGTGAGAGTTACGAATGGCTAAAAAAAAACTACTTTGTTTTCAGTGTGGATAATCAGCTGCGATTCACTCAGATGCAATTGGACAAGCTAAGGAAGACAAATGTGTTTAACGCAACCTTCCACTTATGGCACAATGGACATTTTGGGACAATTAATGGCTTTCGACTGGGACGTCTCCCAACTGTGCCTGTGGAATGGTGGGAGATCAATGCTGCATGGGGACAAACAGCTCTGCTTCTCAGTTCCCTTGCAAGGAAGGTCAGCCTCACCTTCAAGAGATACAAGCTCTGCCCTTATGGAAATTACTCTTACATCCAGGTTGGGATTCTTGAACCTAAACTCCTACCCTTCTTATTTCTTCTTCACGTTCATTCTGCTTATTTTCTCTTTAGACCCTGGAGGACCAGAAGATTCTCCCCCTTTATGCCTATGGAGGATTTCGTTTCTTTTGGGACAGCAACTTTGATGCTGCAATGGTTGCATTCCTTGATTGTCTCCAACAGTTCAAGGATGAAGTGGAGAAGTCAGGATTCCGTCTTCCTTATAAAATGGAGAAAGGAAAAATTCAGGATGGATCTCAGAACTCCTATTCTGTTAAGTAAGTGTCAACATAAGCATAGCATAGCGAGTGGGAGGGCTCAGGGGGGAGGCACATGCCCCCCCCCAATGTTATTCTGCTGAGTGTTGAGGATCAGGGTACAGACTGCCACTCTAAGTTAATGCTTTACTATTGCTCACCTTCAGTTCTACACCTAACACTAAAGATACTGATGAGTGCTTTTGATAGTGTGTCAATCTGTTATATAACAGCTACTCTCCTACCCCTTTTCTTTTATTTGAATCTTTTGCAATTTCTGTCTTTCAAGAAAAGGGAATCATTATGCCTGCATCTTGTCATTAGATGAGAAAAACATTGATTCCTTCTTTTCATCTGCTAACTAAGCTGTCTCACCATAAAAAGTCCATTTAAAAATATAAATGACTATTTCCTGCAGGATAGAAGGTAGTGCAATAGTGCTCCTCTGCATTCCCAGGATAATTTTTTCCTGCTTTTTCATTGGTGAAATATAAGATGGTGGTTTCTTCAATATGATTTGTATGCATCATTGCAGGATGCAATTCAATTCTGAGGAGCAGTGGACCAAAGCACTGAAGTTGATGCTGACAAATCTGAAGTGGGGCTTGACCTGGGTTTCCTCACAGATGGACAATGTTGGCTCCCCTCATAAAGATTAGCCTGTGATCTGTGGTCCCAAATAGACTATAAGTGTGACTACATGAACTGTGGTGTAACTATAAAGTGGAAATACATGAGATAAGAAATTGAGTCTCCCTTCTCTTCACAACCTGTACTGAATGAGGAGAACTGGGAAGTAAAATAGAGATGCCTGCAAGAAGCATGGTTCTGGTCATGGTTCATGCAGACCCTCAACTCAGTGTGCCCCAAAGTCTTACCTTTGGTGAGATCTTGGTCAAGATCATGTGAAATATGATTCCCCAGATGGCACCTTACTTCAAATAAAGACATGAGGCTGAGTGTGAAATGCAGTATTATTTCCCATGCCTTGGTACCCCCCTGGTAAAAAATTAGAATTTCCTTAACCCTTTCCATATCAAAACTTTTTGTATTGTGTGAGTTTCCTGCTGCCAGAACTGTTTCCTACACAGTGAATTTTATATACACACTTGGTAAAATGATTAGATCTCTTTAACTAGTAAAGATAATTGAATGCAGGTTTTCTCTACTTCCAAATATGTACAATGTATCCTATGGAAGAAAAACTCATGAACCGTGTCCATGACATGGAAAGGGTTGTGGTTGTTTAATTCTCTTTTCCCACATCCAACTGCTATATAGCATATAGTTGCATTCTCCATTCTTTTTCGCAATGATTCATTTCTTATTTGCCAAAATAAATTGTCCTTGAGAATACCCAACTTTGATCAGCTTTATGCTTGACCTTTCACCCCTGCCTTTTATATTTTATATTATACAAAGCCATCTTCCTCATCTGGAGGAGTAGGAGAAGTGTAGGAAGGGAAGAAAAAACAGTCTTGAAGTAAATATAATATTGCATTTTTAAAATCATAATTCCACCTTAGTTTGATGAAGAAAAAACTGGTTTAGTAGGTAATTAGGCAGGATGTCCAATTTTGTTTAACCTCCTCAGACCCAACCCATACCCAGGTTCCATAGCAGAACAGTTAAACTAGGCCACTGTGGAGGTTGGGATTTAACAGGTTGACCACCTTGTGGTGCCTCACTATGTCCCTTTTCCTGTGCCATGGGGCACACCAGTGTGCCCTGTGCTTCACCTTCTCCAAGGGATGTAAACATTTATTTTGGCCCAGGAAAGTCACCAGGCCAATATGGCATGGCAGTCAATGTGTTAAAACAGAGTTGGGCCCAACACTTTCCTGCTACCAACCAAAAGTGAATTATGAGTGTTTTGTGAGGTTGTAGACATGAGACAGGAGCTGCACCACTTGAATGATCCAGCCAATGGTGAGTACCATGCATCAAGTCTCCCTACCTTTTATGCACATTTTCCAATAGGTGGAACAGCATGTCTTTCACATTGTAGGTGGATCCCTTGACCTTGGACCTTTCACTCATAAGAAGCTATCTTCTACCCAGTCTGATTTTCATGTACTATGCTGGAGGAAATTCTCAGAAGCTCCTTCATGGATAGATAAGGCAGCCTTGGATCCTAGAGATTCTATTAGTGAGTCTTTTTTATATTTTATATTTTAGAATTATGCGGTAGGGTTGATAAATACAGTATTTCAAGCTCTGAAACAGGAGAAAAGCAAGCTATGCATAGAAATAAATATCATCTACATTATAATATGCAGTTAACTTAATACAAATTTATTAATATCTTAGAAAGGATTCAAGTGAAGTTTGATAAGCTTAGATGATTTAGTCTGCCATTTCATGGGGGTTGTTGCTGCACTGCATGCTGGGAATGGTACTTGAGAAGTGTCACCTCAGAGACAGAATCATGACTTTCCTCATCCTCAATTGGCAAGCATGCAGTTCCACAAAATTAATATTCACTGCAGAGTGAGGCCATTTACGCAGTGAGTGATGATTATGGAAAAATACAAAGGTGTTGTTGCTGAAATCCCATAAGTGATACTGTACTCATGTTGGAATGCCTAAATCAAGAATACAGGTTATGCATAGCATACATAAATATCTCAGTACCTTGGAAAAGTATCCTCATGACATTTGAAGTACCACTTTAACACTGTTTGCTCTTTAAGTATGCTAACTTTTAAAGAAAAAACCAAAATATATTTTGGTTCTTTCTTAAGAAAGATATCAGAACTATAGTTCTGATATTTTTCAAGGCCAAAAGCCATAGGCTTTGGGTTGAGGTATAAAACATACATGTTTAGGTAACCTTTGCCTCCCACAACCTAGAAATTCTAGAGAACACCAGACTCAAAATGAAAACAACTATGATAGTGTACCTTAAAGATGGTTAGGTTCGGAAGTTCTTCTTCAATAATGCCTTATAGGGCATGGATACCTGCACCTATTCCAGCCAAAAGTATCTAATTTATTCCATGGAAGAAGAAAAGTAAGGTCATTCATGTTAGGTTGCTGACGTAACACAGTTTAGACAATTTTCGTTCTTCTGCTTCCCTTTCAATTCTGTCATTTGGTTAGAGCTTCCATATTTTCAAGAAAGAAGGCATAGACCATCCCTTTCTTCATGCCAAATGAGAAGGAGAAGTTTCCAGACGAATTTGTTTAAAGCGAGGTTCACCAAGCGCTAAATTCACACAAATGGAGTGGTGCAGGAGAAATAAACCATCCCACGTCAGGTGATGCCTGTTTAGTGGATCTTGTTTAATCTACGTTTAGGATTCATACAATGCAGAAAAATTACGTTGGGGGGGGGGTTAGGTATCAAACGGCGAACGATGACAACACGTGATATGCCAGGGGCCGAAATTCGTCTCCATGACAACTTCTCAAGTTCTAAGAGATTCCTCAGATGCTCTCTCCTAGGATTATGAATTTCTGTGTTTAATGGTCAAGCTCCTCTTTCACTCGGAAGTGTTACATGGTCTCCATTTCTGAGATGATATAGAAAAACATATAAATGCGCATTCATGAAGAACAAAAAAAAAATTAAAAGCTCCTTGTTTCACTTTTCACGTTTGGTAAACGCTTCAATTGTCGTTCAAGCGAGGGAAGTGTGAGCAAATATAGTAATACGCAATGCAGGATATTGGGTGACATGCACCAGATTCGTTTAACTTTAAACTAATTCGCTTTCATAATGGGCTTCTATGGGAATCAGTTGGCATAAGTATGAGGTGTGAGCTACCGCGCAGCAGTGATCTTTGCAGCGTATGAGGTGTGAGCTACCGTAAAGGCTCTTCTCAATAGCCCTGAAAAGGGCTGTTTCGTTCTCTTTTATCGTTAAGTTCAATTTCTGAATGTTAGCGCCATATCCCGCAAGAAGGTCTCGAATGTCTTCTCCGGATTCAATCCTCTCCACCATACCTCGATGAGGTACCGCTCCTTCATATCCTGGGTCGTGCCACGCATTTCTTTGAGCACCTTCAACTTCAGAGTAGTCCACAAAGACTCGATCAGCTGGGTGTGCGCACCGCTCTCTGGATCAACGAAGTTCTCCGAGTGGTTCACGGTTTCGTGAGCGTACCCCAGCTGGTCGATGCCCTTGTATGCAGGTCATTCATCTGAATGGAGCGTTGTACCCAGGTCTACTTCTGCCTGTATGATGTCGTGCAGTGTCCTCCGGACCTGCCGATTCACAACGAAGAATCGACGTTCCACGACGTCGCTGTCCAGCTTCGTGGCAAGTCCAAAGACCCAAGGACCTTCAATGCGCCGTCCATAATTTCTCCTTCCCTCAGGAACGTCGACAACGTCTGCAACCAGATCTGCATCCTCGGAGCTCTCATCGCCTGCCTCTGGCTCTCGATCTCCAAGTAGCAGACGTCCTTTGTTCGCTTTCTGTTTCCCTCGAAGAAGAGTCTCATCCATTTGCACGATTCTTCCGGGTCCACCCATTTTCTCACGCCTGGTCCACATACGGGCAGGGACATCGCGACATTGGTTGAACCAGTCAACCACAGCCTGATGGCACAGTCCCATGGCGCTCTTTACCTGGATTTGGGACAGATTGTGGCACCAAAGGAACACAATCTCCAATATCTTACATATTGAAAGATTGCTGTGGGCACGACCCCTTACGTCCCTGTAGGTGAAGAAATCATTGCTGCGCCGTACGGATTGCATTCTTTGGCAGCCCTTCTTCACGCACCGAAAGCAAACGTAGGAAGCCTCGCTGCCATCCGCCTTCCTCTTCTTTCGCGTGTAGAGCCTGGTCTCTCCTCCACAGCCTTCTCGAATGCAAGCGGGTGGGGTAGCTTCGTCGTCAAGAAGTCCGTGCTCCCTCAAAAATGCGGCAGCACTCTCTTCGCTCCGGATAACCGAATAAAACTCCGAGAAAAGCATCCTGAGCAACTAACTGTTCTCGAGAATTTGATGGGTTTATATGAGTGGAGAGCATTATGACTTCGGATTATCCGCAAGGGTAATCTCCCTGGCTAATCCGCAAGAAAGGACACCTGCTTGAGACATAATTGCAAGCAAGGATTATGCCAGATTAGGCATACCGGCGCCAGGTAGGCCACCGAACCGCATATAGCTCATACCTCATACTTAGGGATGGTTGAAATACTGGCAATATCAGTGCCATGAATTGGTGTGGTAGCTCACACCGCATAGGCCACTGCGGCGCGGTAGCTCACACCTCATATTATGCCAATCAGTTTATCTCTGTCAAACTGATTCCCATAGGGGACCATTGTGAGAATCAGATTAGTTTAGCTTAAACGGATTCGGTGCATGTCACCCATTATCCTCAAAAGTCAGCACCCGCTCTGTTATACAGGGGCTCTCCTCACGAGACATCTATCAAGTGAAAGCCAAGTTACATATTTTCACAGGTGGCACCGCTTGGTTCGCTAAATGCCATCTAAGAGAGAAACGACAGAAAATTTGATTCGATTATGACGGTCGAACCTCCTCTCCCCTCGGAGAGGAGGCCCACACGTCCTCAAAAGCCGGGTGCAGAGCGCCAGAGCACCCGGCGAGGAGGTAAAGCGGGTACCCAAAGGACGCCTGGGTGGGGCATAGCGACTGGGGATCGAACCCTGGTCTCCCGGACGGGACGAGGACGCTCTGTCGACTAGGACCTTTCCGCCGGTTGGATCGAAGCTCGATATAAGGAGGGTTATGTGGATGTCTGGCCGAGAATGCCTCGGGGGGAAGAGCTACGCCGGTATAAAGGGTGTTTCACGCATCCTTTGCGTCAAGGCAGACGCACGCTTGCGTAGGTATCTACACTTACATTCAAGGATTTTCACGAAACGCAAACCTTGCGTTTTGTGAAATCAAACTCATCCCATTCCCGCATGCTATATCTTTCATCCATCTTCTGCTTCGGGTGGACCTAGAGTTTAAATGCACAATGACAATGATCATTAATTAAAATAAATAATAATGATGCAAAACGAGAGATCCTGGTACGGAGGGAGACCCAAGGTCCCTCCGCACCATACCCATGGGATCCTTTCCCATCTCTAAGTCATCTAGCTCTAAGTCGCCAGCCCTGGTGTTGGGAGGATCTCACCTATCTATGGCGGGAAGGAGCCATGTGACGGTCCACCACATGGCAGTGGGGCCTACCATACATTTAGCTCCTATTAGCTTTGATAGGAAGAAGGTGCCAAAATCAAAGTAGAACATCTGGAGCCTTTCGACTTTCTCTCACTCCCATGGCTTGGTATGCATATTTATGCCGTTTTCGAACTTGAATCTGTGCCTAGATCTGTCCTCCACTCTTAGCGTCACCCATGATCACCTGAACTAACTGAGCATTTCCAAGTATATCCTTTCTCTCATACTGCCTTGTGCAACTCGTCTCATTTGGCGACCTAACGGTGTGCAGGCCAAAACAGTATCTGTTTAATTCAGACTTTAACTGAGGGGGGAGAGTAGGATAAACAAAAGGACCTACACACCGATCGGCAGGCGGGCGAGAATTTTCGATATACAACAGCTACACCGACGTCAAAAAATATGTATGATGGGTTAGTATAAATGTTTTAGTGGAATATAACATCATTCGTTTGCTTAGACAGCGAATATAAGCCTGAGCCTGAAGAGTGCGTGTAGAAGACTTGCTCGTGGGTAGGAGAGTCCAGGATCTCATGTCTGGCTTTTCCACCTTCCGCTTGAGCTCTTTCTGGTTACGCATGTGTCTGTGCTGGTCCTCTTGAGTAGGCGTATTCTCGTGTCTGTATCTCGATAATAGGCTGTCATTTGAATTATTTTTTAGATATAAAGTTTGGTGTTCTGATTTCCCAATTTCTTCTTCCTCATGTTTCCATCCGTCAGGTTTTTTTTAAATACGCACGTAGATAATCTTTAGTGTTGCAAGTCGTAGGAGCTATTGAGTCCATGTTGCGTTGAACCATGCATCAACCTCTCAAGGAAAGGTGGCCACGGCTAGAGACAGAACGTGGGAGGAGGCATGTTGCAACCAGGGCCAGCCTTAGGCATATGCCCCTGCACAGGGCGCAAGCAAATTCACCAGGGGCGCCAAAACGTGCCCGAATGAATGAAGCAATAATGGATGCCAACTCAGAAAGTGGATATGCCTTCCGTTTCGGCGTCTTTTTTGGACGCTAGGGATTGGTCCCTCGCCCTCCTTAGGGTGTTGGGAGTCTCTTTGACACAGGGCGCTAGGGCCGGTGTCGTATGATATTTTCCCCCCCGTAATATTTTTCCCCACCTCCTTTAATGGAAATGAAGGATGTTCGCCTCGTTCCTCGGCGACTATTTCTTCCGCGCCTTTTAGTGTTCCTTTTACGCCTCCATCTGCCTCGCTAACGTCTAAGCCAGTGTTGACTCCTCAGGGCGATCTTGAAAGCCACATCAAAGATTCAAGCCCCCGGAGATAAAAGGCAAATGAAGGCAGCTGACATGAATGCAGGGAGGAATGAACATCGTCCTTTGCAGGAGGATGTTCTGCTATGATTTCGTTTGATCAGTTTCTGACAGTAAAGAGTAAGAAAGTAAAGTAAACTCTTTTGGCAATCAACAAACTTGCAATTCTACTTTTATAAAACGAACTCTCATCATTTCCATTAAGGGAAGTGGGGAAAAATATCATACGACACCGGCCCTGGTTGCAACTACCTGTCTCGGTTTCCGAGACCCAGTCCCAGAGGGGAGGTGACCTTTTCTAGACAACATGCACGCAAATTGGGATGGCATGTCTCACTCTGCCTCTAGTGCAGTGATCTCCAAACTTTTTGATGCGAGGGCCTCACGGACACTGGTCCAACCTTGAGTGGGCCGCATCGAAAAAAAGATCAAACATTACTGCATGGTTAACCCTTTATCTGGCCGTGTTGGACTTCATGGTCAAGCTAGGACAACACTGTAAAAAGTAGGGGCAATCGAAAACTGCCACATCCACAAACATACTGCCACTACTTGGAGTCAGGGCTCATGTAAATCGCATCGGATCTAAGTGATGCTCTGTTAACAATTGTTATTTCCGATAAATATTATACGTATCTGAATACGTATAATGACGTAAACTTGCTAGTTTTGAGGGAAGAGATTCCAAATATGGAATGGTTTCTCGTGATTATTCAAGAATGGCGATGAAAGGGTTACATATGAAAGTCAATAAATTAGTCCTGGTGGGCCGCACTTGTGGATATCGCTGCTCTAGTGGAAAGCCTTCTTAGCAAGTTCAGGTTATACCAACGGTTCATTCAGCACAGGACCTAGGGGGGGGGACATTGGCATAAACTCCAAGGAAATTCATAGACAAAGCTGAAGTTCATTTGCTGGCACTTGCACAAGGCTTTCTGCTATGGTTGTACTTGTCACTTCTTCATGGTGCCCTTGGAAACAGAGCATAGGCTGGATAAATGTAACGTTGTAAAGGACTTTCAACCTTTATCTAACACAAGTGATTATTCAAAGAAACTTTTACTGATTCGTTTACCAGTACAATGAGGAATTTAATTCAATTCAAATGCAGTAATGAGTATTGTATACTGTGAGGATTGAAAAGAAAGAACAAAGAGATGGTCAATAATGTCTTTCTGTTCACTAATCAGCATGGACTTCTCTCTCAGGTTGCTCATAGCCTTGCCTAGGCACTATGAGTTAAGTGAGGCTGCTATTATGTCCAATGAAAGTAGTACACAGGTAGGAGATTATTTCAGGATGTATTTTTTTTTGTAGTTGTCATTCTGTAAGTGGTGCAAAACTTGTGCATTATACTTGATGTTCCAATATGACATTGATAAAATTTTCATCTTCAGAGGATAATGGTGAGTAGAGCGTGGCTTCCAGAGAGGGATTTTTCTATGGTTCAATAGTCAAAGTTGAATAGAAGTATGAAAAAGCAAAGTTTACAAAACTTCTTTTATTCTAAAAGCCTGGTAGTGTATGGCGCTGCTAATGAATCAGCAAATACTTCACATATTCTCACTGAGGCTCTCAGGGATTGCTGAGTGTAAGACATATTCATCAGAGCATGTATGCTATCATGCCCAGTGTCATACTTAATACTCCATCTCTTGACCAGAAAAGTAATGATGCCTGCATGCAGGAAACATGAACCAGAGTCAAGCAGACCCAGTCTTTTCAATAGATAAAATTGACCTAAAATAGGCCTTAATTGCAAATTTTCCATTAGAATCTGAACATGGATCCATACCAATACATGAAGCTGGACATAAAAACTCATGCACAATCACATCAGAGCAAGAATTGCCCTTCCTTGAAAAATGAAAGCCCTGAAAGAACCGGATATCAAGAAGCTGCTAGTCATAGGATGATGGGGTGGACTAGGAATCTGTTTTCCATTTTTCCTGTTGCTCTCGGCGAACATCAGGGATGAGCTGATTCCTCATCCCATCCAGAACACTGCTGGTGGCCTCTGTAGCTAGAATGATGGGGCGTACAATTGTAGGAGGGAGTTGACGTAACACCCCTCCAACTGCACCAGAAACACCTTTGTGCTCGTGCTCACGGCTGGCTGCCAGTACCAGTGTGTGTGCAGTTTCTCCCAAACCCTAACAGGAAGGAGAATGACTGCAATTAATTCCATCTTGTATCAGATCAACACATGCTATTATGTGCCCTTTATGGTAATTAAGCATGAGCAAATTTTCATACTACACTATGCTACCTTGGTAACTGGAAAATCATTAGAGAATCTGTGAAGTGCTTTGCATCATACTACAGGAGGAAATGTGACTCACAGTGCGAACAACTTGATAGGCATTGGAGACACCTTCCCTCAGGTCAGCTGGCTGAGGAGTTCTTCTCTTGTGACTAGATCTTCTGCCATGTCGTGACCTCACACTTGGTCCAGGTGAAACCATGTCATATGCTGTTTCAGCAGCCAGCTAAGAAAATGTACAACTTCAAATTGATTTGCTGTCTCATTTTCAATCCCTTCATCATAATGCCAACAGCATCCTAATAATATATTTTTTCACATAAAAAGAGGCAAGAGAAAAGCCTTGGCTTGCTGGGGTGATAGTTTCCATATCTTGGCTTGCATGAAACATCAATTTCATGTAGTAGCAGCTCCGTTTTCTTCCATCACATTATCAGTTATATCCTAACTTTTTCCTTCTGATATAGGAATGCTGTCTCAAAACTTATTCATAAGTTTATTCAAATTGAATACCACACTAAAAGAAAACCTATTGCTGATTGCAAAATAAAAATGAAAACCCCTCCAAATGTGCAAAGATACTTACTTGGATAGCTTGAACAAGGCGATTGGTCAATTCAAGGGTGGCTCCTGCAGTGGATGTGGAGAAAGAGGCAGCACCTTTCTGGAGGCCCCTCACAATTCGGCCATCTTTTTGATACTGCTCCACAGGGAGGCACACAAGGTCTCTAAGACCCTGAACTGAAAAGCAATATTTAATGAATTCAAGATCAGTATGGGGTGTGATAGTTATGGCACAGAGTTCCAGATTTCAGAAGCCCTGGAGTGCCAAAAGTTGTAGCCTATGGGGTAGTCTGTCCCCTACCCTAATTGAGGTTCACAACCTATCAACTTTATCACAAAGCCATTCTAAAAACACAGCATCAAGGAAGTAAGACCCTAGGGCAGCCATGCAACTGCAATCCCAGAATAATATGATTTCTCCCTTCAAAATTAGTCAGTAACCAGTTACTGTAAAAAGGAAAAAAACTTTCTCAACACTAAACATGCAGTAGATGACCATTCAAAATGTCATAGTTCTGCTACTGGTGCCTGAAAAACTTCATGAGGGAAAGAGATGACTCACACAGCTGAACAAATGCATGAATGGGTCCCACTCCTCCAAGAATATTTGGCAACTGGGTGGTTCGGATATCATTTGCCCACTCTGAGATCAAATATGCCATCAATCTGTCCACTCCCAAAATACTGCAAGAAGGATGATAATGAAATCAAGAGCATAGAAGGATATATCCTTTGAAATCTTAGGAATGATGATCATGGGACAGACCCATGACGAAGTTCAATCCTCTTTAGACAAAGTTCTGAGCAGTTGAGCTGAGCTAGTCCAATGAGAAGACCTCGAAGAGGACCTTGCCCTAGGTCCACTCGCTTTCCATGATAATCTACTCTGATTGGTACTTCTGGAGAGAACAACACAGACCTATGGATGACAAGAAACAGAGATTCACTATGTAGCAATTTCAATCCTCAAAGTTTTGGGAATAGGTGAGCTCTAATCAGACCTGAAGTAGATGGGTTGAGATTGGTGTGACTCTTCTTTATAAGATGGCTCACTGAAGAAGCTGTGAGAGTCTTCTTGATCATCTTCACCACTTCCATCTTCTTCATCAGATACGTCTTGTTCTTCACTTCCATCTGCTTTTCCACATTTCATCACTGGTTGTTTCAAGCCACTGCCCCCAGAGTCAACATCTATGCACCACAGAGATCCAAATATCAGTATCAAATTGCTTGACCCCCCACAGGAATGAAACAGTATCTTTTTCATTAACACTTCATTTGAAAGAGGTTTGTATACCACATACCATCTCACATCTGATGTCAGGGTTTCAATGACCATCAATCAAATTGTGAAATACTGAAGGAAACGGCCATTTAGTTACCTAGGTTTTAAAATATTACTACCTCAAGTTTAAATAAGTGTAATAATAGGACAAAAATGTTAATTTACTTTTGGAAAGGGGTGAAGAGCCGCCACTGACAGAAAGGAAAAAGTCATGGAGAAAGAAGAGAGCATCTTGGTCAACATTGAGTCGCAGTGGGGACACAGAAATCCGAAGTGAGCATTCTTCTGCTCCTGCTGACATATCTGGGCGAGAATGAACTGCTTTCACTGACAGCTGCAACATGAATGAACCTCTCTATATGCTACCTATTCCAGTTGAAATAGTTTCAAACAGAAATGAAGACTTGTGGAAGACAAGAGCATCTTACCATGTTGGCATGAGTTTGTCTTGGCATGGCCTCAGAAGAATAGAGATAAAGAAACTTGTTGATTTGTGAGGAAGACAGCCGATCTAGAATTTCAATGTCACTTATGACAAGAACTTGTCGTGAGGCCTGGGGGGTAGATTCAGGGTATACTTCATGTTGAAATGACATCTGAAAGAGATCCCAAGTCCACAACTTGACATAAACAGGCAAAAAATCAAGTGTACAGATCTGACATGCGAAGAACATGGCAATAAGTAATTCCATTCATAACATTAGGGAACACTCCAAGGTTAGAATAAGTTTCCTCCCTTCCACTTGGCAGTCAGAACTACCATTTTTTCAACTCACAACCACTCTAAAATAAATGCATCTTGCAGGTAGGAGACATAGCTCAAGAGAGAGCCATGAGTTTTTTTTAAAGGTTACATTAACCCTGTAACCATTCCCAAACATAACATATAACCTGAATGATTATGTTTGGGAATGAAGAGATGAAAAAAAGAATCTCTTCAAAATACCAAATATTATCATGTCTTTATGAAAATACATGGAGTATTAGGTGTTACAAACAATTTAGTCATTTGTAAACTTGTATCAGAGTCCATTAGACCCAGAACAGTAGTTCTAAGGTTAATAGAGTGGAAGGAAGTTCGAACTTTGTATTCCAAGTTTGGTCTGAGCAAAAAGTATTTAAAAAAAGAACAAGGCTCTTAAAGCCAATGAGCCATGGATCAAAGACATAATGTAGGTGCTCCAGATTTTTATTTGCACTGTTTTAGTTTCACTATCACAATGAGTAACCAAATGATGCAAAGGATCCACCATATATATTTCATAATCATTCTTCTTTCAAATAGTTCACTGCTTGAAATTTCATGCAGTAAAGTGCAAAAATCCTTGTAATGAGGCAGGTTCCAATGTAACACAAGCAAAAAAATTGTTCAGGAAGAAATACAGCTACCCTTTAATTGCATTTCCAAACATATGGTCTGAATGATGATGGATTAGCAATTACAGGGTGCCCCAAAATAAAGGGCACTTTTCAATGCTCATTGTAGGTATGATGCTTTCAAGGTTATTTTTCCTGACAACATGTAATGAAAAGAAGAAAGACTTAGCTACAAAATGCCTAAATGGTGACTTGGGAAAAAGTTATTTAGTCTCAGTAACGAAAAATTGGCGTTGCACTCAGTGACTCAACCCAATATCCCCTCAATGGTTTGGCACTCATGAGAAGGGGATGGGAAACACTGACCTCGCAAGGATGGTCAGTTGTGCAGTATGCAGTCAGTGAGCACAATGCCGATTATTATTACTGAAACTCCATAATTTTTTCCTAAGTCACCATTTAAGATATTTAAAGTCTGAAAAAAAGCATTTTGTGGATCGTACGTTAAGTTTTGAAAAATGTCTATTGAGATATGAAATAGGGCTTTACCAATTGGGAAAAACTGTAATAGAAAAATCATTATTCATGGTAGACTTCTGCTTCTACATTACATGAAGCCTGTAAGGGACAAGAACCTGATATTGGAGGAAATCAATATTTTCTTCAGCATAGGAGCCTCATGACCATGCACAGGATGGACATAACAAAGGACTACCTTTAGAAGATGGAATTCCACAGCTGTATTGATGTCTCTATTGACTCCTCCCCTGCAGTCTTTGTTCCCACTTTTCTTCTTTGGTGACCATAGTATTGATACTGACTGCTTTATGTCCTCTGAAGAAAAGTGAACCTAAGTGGAAACAAAAACATGCAAATCCTTTCAGTCTACTGTTATGCTAGCATTATTCTGCAACCCCACTGATGCAAACCACTGAGTCATCATAGTAATGGGTCTATATGGAGGCTTGCTAGGTTTTAAGCATGGTAATAAGTGAAGAAGGCTTTGCTCTGAATAACATTCCAAGTGCCTCACCGAGTGTGAGGAAGGTTTGGAACCACTATAGCCTGCTGATTCCTGGCCTCTAGTTGATTGATGCTTGGGGGATTCCATGCCACCAGATTTCTTCTTGCTATGAATACAAGCATAAGGATGTGATAAATCCCTGACTAATAACACCAATAAAGAAGCAGATGGGGGACACAATTGATTTTGAGTGGCATTTTTGATGAACCTGAGTAGAATAAAAGTTTCTTTACCACAGGTAACAGTCAATAATCAAGCAATTTAGGACAATATTTTATGGAGCAATAGCATTTGATTCATGCTTTAGAAAAAGGACATCATGCACAGGTAAGATGGAGACCATAAAAATTTCTGGTGAATCAACTCACGGGCCCTTTCCTCTGTGCAAGGCAGTCGAATCAAAATCCCATCCACCATAGATGTGCCAAACCAAGCTCATCTTATGTAAAGTATAGCGATGGGTGGGCTGGGGGAAGTCTTTTGGAGCCTTGAGAATGTCTGCCTTCCTTATGGGAGCTTTGAAATGATGTTCCACAACAGAAATTGGCTCAGAAGTCAAAATTTTCACCTGAGGTTCTCCACGCTTTGACTGGAATGAAAGTTGGCATTATGTTCTATTGAAGTCAAGCTGAAACTTTGAAGGATCTCTGAACTTAGGGTCCCTTCCACTTTTTTTTGTGCCCAGTCTAAAAGCTACCTGCAGCCAGTAGGAACATTATGCAAATTCTCTTATTGCCAGCTGTAAGAAGTGACCTGACATTTGAGACAGAACAAAACTTATATTGCCACAATATGATATCCCTGGATGATATTGTAAGGTGATAATTATATTGTTCTATCTCCACTTTCCATTTATTTTTACCCAATGCATTTAGCAATAACTGACATTTTCTTCAATATCCTAGGTTCTCATATGATAAAATGTGCATGAATGAACCAATTTTATTTTGGACCACAGATGGATTTCTATGATTTCAAAATTGTGTTTTATTCCATCTTCACCATCTCTTCAGGAAGATGGACTAATAAAAATGCCTACATTCTGCACATCCATACATCATTCTCATGCTTGCTCAGCATACTCTGATCAGTGCTGTACTGATGTATTGGCAACCACTGCTATCAGCCACCAGCGTTTCACCACTGGCAGGGTTGCAAGCTGTTGGTGCCCAAAGCAGAGGCAAAAAGAATAAAATAACGTGAGTTGGTGACAGCTAGGTGCTGGCCCTCATGTCTCTCTGATAGCCACTCATGCCAGCCTTTCCCAGACTAAAATATTGATCAGATTATACTTAAGCATGAGTGTAGGAACCAGCAGAGGAAATAGTGTTAAGGAATGGGAAATCATTGCATCTCCTTTCATGTTATGCTTTTGCAATAGATGTGTTAAACATTCTTATAGGGCAGCAATAGGTAACAAGCAAACCACTGATGGACAAGTAGACAGACTTTCAAAGAGTCTGCCAAATAGGCCTATTTGAATTATGAGATTTCATGTCTTCTCAATATATCTCATAGCCATCAGCTGATAGCTATGAGATAAAAATTGGCCATTGGCACACATGCCATTGGTACAGCCCTTAATATAAATAATACAGTGAATATCTCCAGATCTAATTATGTTAGGTAAATGTTTAGGGCTTCCCATAACTCAGTGGAATGATGATTTTAGAAATAGCATTCTATAAAAGAGACCAGGCATTTTTGGTTGGAGCAAAGAGTTCATTAGGCCAATCATATGTAATCCCAAAAAGATTCATTATTGGACTCCTCTTTGCAATAGTTTTTAGCTTTTTGCAATAGCTGTTGACTGAAAGAATAGCTCAAATTCAATTCAGGTTACCTACAAGGAAATATAAACCACAAACATGGGAAAGATTGGAAAATACATTACTACTTACCAAGATTCCTGTCCCAGGGTCATTTTCCAATATGCAGAAATCCTCCTCAGAACTTCTACGATCTTCAACAGATGCATCAGCCAAGGCATCTTCAAGATCACTCATGACAAGTTTTTCACCCTTGCACTCCCTCACATATGTTCCAAACTCTCCAGCTTCATCTCCAGCATAGAAGAAGATTTCCAAAGGTGGTTTTTCCTCTGGTGATGGATGGGCTGTACGCAAGACGAAGAAACATTCGCAATAAATCAGAGGCATACAAGGTGCATTCAAAAAGGAGTGACCTATGGAGCATAATTCCCTCATCCTTCTAGTAGCAGCATTTTTATGCTGGGTACTTTAATAGCTGTATCTTCTATACCTATGAGAAGTTTCAGCTTTGAACATTACATAAATAATAACTTACAGTTGGTTAATTTGACTGATTAAATATGGCTCATTTTTGTTTTAAAAATGAAATGGAAATGGTGGTACGAAGAATACATAAATACATTGGTACATAAATAAATTGTTTACCTATTAAGATGCTGCTAGCATTCTTGCATGGAAGCTCAGTTCCTAGATGTAGAAAACTTGAAAGCAGCCCTTTGTTTCTCTAATCAAATGTTAGCCATATTTTATCAGTTGATTCAACCATCTGTACCAAACTGTGCTGCAATTATCATTACTTTTTAAATGCACCTTGTATACCTCCTGATGAGGAAGAGAAATTATGATAGTTTTCCTCTTCCCAAAACAAAAAGAAAATCACTTTAGTAATTTACACTTTTTGCTTATGCCCTCATTGACAAACATTACACATAACTACATTCCTGCTCAAAGAATCTGTTATGCACATTTACTGATTACTCCCAGAACACCAAGATGGTGACAGCATCCCATTTCCAGTGGAAGAAGGATGCTTAAAATATTTGAGAAATTAAAAAAAGGCAATTGGTTCTCTGCCTTCAAGTATCAAAATATTATGATGGTGAAATAATGTTATAGGCAAGAGCAGAGGTAGAATGGAACAACCTGCACTGTATAATAACCGAGTCCATCCTCAAGTTAACATTATTCATGTATCTATATAAGGCATACTAACCAGAATTAGCATGACTGTTGGTTCCACTGGATGATTCCTTCATTGCTTCTGCCATGAGGTCAGGAACTTTCACTTTCCCATCACGATCCAAAGCACATAATCCATCAGTGTACACTGTTTCTTCTAAATGGCTAATTGGCACTGTGGCTGGTGTTTCATCAGCCATAACTAAATCACCTTTAGAAGCAAGATACTTTATCAGGTCTGTCAAGGCTTGGAAGGAATCAGCACATGTCCGTATGTGCACTACATTGTTTGTGGCATGAAAGTCAACACGAGGATTTTTTGTGTCCTTCCTGTTACACAGACGTAATGTGATGTCAAAGAGACCCACTTCAACAACACATGCATAATGTGCATGCAAGCTGACAGTAGGGATGTCAGACACTTGATCTGATAGCCACAATTCACCATCTTCAATGATGAAGCGAAGGAGAGATGTGCTTGTCTGTGAAGCAAGGTTTCCTGACACAGTGAAGCTTTCCACTGTGATCATGGCACGTAGTGGCAAGTTCAGGGGCCTTCAAAACATAAAATACAACCAATAAAATTAAAGATGTTGACATCTACACAGGTTGACACTATATACTTCCCTATTCATAGCATGAGGTGTACATTTCCTCTATCACAAATAACTCTCATTTTCTTACCACTCCCATCTGCTTTTCTCCTATTTATGATTTCTTTAAATATTATGCAGAAGTAAAAAAATTGCAGATATTGACCTGAAATCTGCTTAGGAACAAAATTGAGTGTCCACTCAAGAAAAAAATTTAAAAAAGAAAGACAAATAAAAATAAAAATAACCACAGGTACCATTTACCAACGTGAAATGGATCTTATTGATTTTTTATTTTTCAAATAAATTACAACCTCAAACTTACCCGAAAAGACTTCTCATTATAGCTTTCTGTTTATTTAAAGAGTACTGAACAGGACTGGAAATATTAGCTATAAATGTTTTAAAGTAGTAAAAATAAAATTTGACGTCTGATACCTAATGCAATTTCCGTTGAGAAATCCCAGATTCAGTATTGAAGCAAAAGACAATCCTCTTTCAAAAGATAGGATGAAAGGGGAATACTGGCAGCATATTTTTCACTGGTCCCATTGGTCTCAGCTTTATGTAAACAACAAAAAAGTGATAATGGCTAAGACCCACCAGCATATCCTTACATGTGAATTTGTGCACATCCTGTCACTGCACTAATGGGCATCCATGCATAAAAACTGGACCTTTGTTGACAAATGTGAAACTCAACTGTACTTGTTGGAAAATCCAACCATGAAATGGCAGAACAAGTATAGGAGCAGTAGGGTCCTCACCTATAATCAATTGCAGAGCCCCAGAAATGGAGATGAAGTTCAGAGACAACAGTTGGTGGTTCATAGCCATCCAGAGGAAAGTCCACAACATCAAAGAAATCAATTAATTCATTCAACCACCCTTGGTTTGTAGGGAACATGCGATATCTAAGCGTAGTCCCTCGGAATGCCAAAGCAATCTGGAACCTCTGTGCATAAAAAAAATCCAAGTCAGTTAGTATATTCAGCTATGTGGAAATGATGGTAATAAAAAAATAGCTGTGTAAGAGAATAGAGAAAGGTGGAGAGGGAGCAGTGGGGGTAATGGGAACTGAGCATACAGCTTACCTTCAGGTGATGATCTTTGTCCAAATTATGCTCAATGACTAAAGTGATCATATCCAAGGAGTCCATTCCTTTGCCAACAAAACCATTCATTGAGGTAGGTACTCCTTCATCAGACAAATACAATGTCAGTTGTGGATCTCCATATGATCGAAGCTCTTCCGGTAGGAGACGTGCATGTTTTACGCTATCTGGTACATTGTCTGTGAAAATGCAATACACAACATACAAAACAATTGTTTAGATTATATGTGTGTACTAAAATCAGGATTCTACAAGGTTTAGAAATATGCCCAGGTTACAAACAGAGACATAACTAACAGCCAATACTATTTTCTTGTACTTGTACCAGCACTTCATTCTCTTTGTCGATTACCTAGTTTATGACATATTATCACATTTTACAAAATTACATTATACAAATGGAATCCATATTGATGCCTTAGCACAAGTTTCATGAAGGTATAAGCATATTGCTTATTTTTTATATCTATTTGGGCATCTTCCATGGTTATTGATGTAGTGCTCAGCCAATGCACTATTACACTTTAACACACTATTAACAAACTAAAAGCAGACCATTCAATGTGGAAATTTACCTGCATGGAAAGCTTGGATTCGATTAGTCTGGAGACAGACATAACCTCTTTTTTTTATGCCCTGATATCCAGACACAGTAAAGAGACCCACTTCCCAACCTTCCACCAACAGCTCTCCATGTCTCCCCAACACCAAATCATTCATCTCGTCCTTGAAGTAAGTTACATCCATATCACAACAATTGTCAATACCACACTAGACATTTGAAATACCAAAATGTCATAGCACCTTTAACCTTTTCACTGCTAAGTTATATTTGGGACTGTGGCTGAGAGTGATTATGGAAAACAAGCATACTTGAGAGCCACAGTGAAAGGGTTAAAGGTGCATGCTCTCAACTGGAGTGGGAATTAAATCAACTCTGTTAGCTGGTGCAGAGAAAAACTTGTATGGTATGTCACATGCAGCTTCTTCCAATAACTTTTGTCAATACCAGACTCCTGAGGAGTAGTCCCAAAAAGTTATTGCAGTTTAAATGGAAAATGTCAAATGAGGATATCAATGGGAATGTGAATATACAGGGTGTTAAGAAAGCTGTGTCCCATCCCAATATGCCTATTACCTCAGCAAAAATTTAAAAAGCAGGAAATTTTTTAATGCACAATAACAAGGACAGTTAACTGATTTAGTTAATAGTTTTCAATATAGCCACCCTTGGCACAGATGACAAGGTTCAGATGACCCATGAAAGCACAGACTGATTTTTACAAGACTTCCTGTGGAATTTGCCCCCCTTTCTTGGTTCAGGGATAGCTTGAGAGAATCCAAAGAATGGTGCTTTGTAGCACACACTTTGCTCTCCAAGATGAACCAAATTGAAAAACCTAAATCTGATTTTTTTAAAGCTATTCGGCATCAAGGGGCGGCTTTTGTAATGGTCTGGGCTGGGATTACCGCTTCTGGACGCACTCCACTCATTTTCGTGCCTGAGAAGATGAAAGTCAATGCTGAAGTATACCAGAAAGCATCCTGAAAGCTTGCCTGGTTCTGTGAGCTACGAAATATTTCAATGGAGGCAGCTGGATCTTCCAGCAGGACTCAGCGCCAGCTCACAAGGTGTGGATGACCCAGGAATGACTGTGGACAAATGTCCCCAACTTCATTTTGACTTCACAATGGCCCCCTTACTCCCCCGATGTCAACCCCCTCAATTGTTTAATTTGGTCCACCTTGGAGAGCAAAGTGTGTGCTACAAAGCACCATTCTTTGGATTCTCTCAAGCTATCTCTGAACCAAGAATGGGAGCGAATTCCACAGGAAGTCTTGCAAAAATCAGTCAATGCTTTCATGGGTCATCTGAACCTTGTCATCCATGCCAAGGGCAGCTATATTGAAAACTATTAAGTGCTTCTAAATCAGTTAACTGTCCTTGTTATTGTGTATTTAAAAAATGTCCTGATTTTTACATTTTCGCTGAGGTTATAGGCATATTGCGATGGGACACAACTTTCTTAACACCCTGTACTATATATTTCCATAACCTGTTGAAACCAGTTCCTCCTCATCAGACAACAAGGACATATCCATTGGTCATGCTTCTGTGTACCAGTACTGGCTGACAAGAGACAAAATGGCAAAGAGGGCCATTCCAGGGTGATAGAATGCTGAAGGTAGAAAGACAGTAGCATAGAGGTGCTCAACTAGGACGTGAGAAGGTCCACTAAAATCACATCCTGGAGGTCTGGGAGTAAAATTATGATGTCAACTGCTGTGATCAAACAAGGATATTCCAAGTGAAAGAGTAAGCTTCAATGCCCCCCCCCCTGCCCTCCCCAATGGTTCCTTACTATCAGACTATTTCTGGGTTGGGGGAAGGATGTAGACTAAAAGGTAAGGGAAGTAAGCAAAAAGAAACAAATAGAACCAGGCCTCTGGCCTGAAGATGGAAGTTCACAGTCTTTATCTGGACCACAGACCAGATAAGGACTGTGAACTGTGGTTGAGCAGCACACAGGCTATTATCATAGCAAAAGGGATCTTACAATTAAATTCTTCCAAAAATACATAGTGAATAGGATGGGACTCACTTTGAAAGGGACATGTAGAGAACAGAATACCCTCTGAGAGGAGAGCGTGAGAACAACCTCATTCTGTCCAACAATTCCTCTCTGAAGCTTTCCTAGAGGGGTCTTTTCATTATACCCTCTCTCTTCATCAGTGTCACTGTCCGAGTCTAGTAAGAAAAATGAGGATTGCATAAATAAAAGAGATTGGAGATTTCCACGACCATTATGAACCCACACACACTTCTTTACATATCAGGCACCATTCCACTGGCTACTTTATTAGCCAGCAAGGCTTGAGGGAGCTATACCTCATTCTTCGGTATATGTGAGAAAAATTTACAAAGAAAAACACCTACAATATTAAATGCAAATTAAATTATTCTCCAATTTATTTTAATGTCTCACCAACCATCACACTTTCCCTAATAGTTGAACATGATAGTTTATTGACACCCAATAAGTCATTGCCTTATCATTTTCAAGCTGGAATTTAAAATTAGATCATGAAGAATTTAAGTGTTGGAATTTGAATCGTCCAATGATTGAGGCATGAACCTGAGCAACATAAAAAAAAAACACCAACATCTGAAGTCAACAACAAAGGAAACCACAACTTTTTATTTGGTTCTGATTGATCTGAATACCCAAACTTAGTTTTGATACCTCTTCTCACACCTTGACATGGGGTGGAACATGTGCTGCCATTCAAAAGAGCTACTTCAAAGAGTCTTTAACCTATTGCAGCACAAAGACGGGTAAATTTGTCATCTGACAACATGAAATTGCATATTGTTCTATATTTTCTAAACACATTTCCCATTCAATATTTGTAGTTGATTCTCTAAAGTTAACTGATCGTTAATGAAGCAAATTCATTAATGTCAAAACTTTCTTTGGTAGCAAAAATCCAAATTGTTACAGGTTTAACCACTGGCACACCACCAAAATTTGTACTGCAATGGGTTAATCCAATTCATGAAGTGAATGAACCAACCTGTTTATAATGCCTTTAGGCATATTCTTCTCTTATCATTATTTTGATCTTGCCATAAGCATTTCTCTTGTTTTATATGTTGGCTTACTTGAAGAATGCTCATTTAATCATATCAACTTGTAAATGCTATAGTTTTTTTTAAGTCATAGAATGTAGCATAATTTAAACTTGAGGCCTTCTCCATGGATCTTCCAGTATTGTCCATTCTGGGGTTGCACCTGATGTCACTAAATTTCACCTAAAATACTTTGTGCTCCAGAATCTGACATGAGCCTGCTGTGTTAGACATTCCCCAACAATCAGGGCATAGAGATGACTCTGCTCCAACTCACCCAAGGCAAGCTTCATTTCTACAAACTGGTCACAACATTTTGAAGAACTATGCATCTGAATTCTTAGCACCCATCTGGAATGATGAAATCAATCCAACAAAATGTGCCAATTGTGATGCTTTTTCTTTCTGGACCCAGAAATGGCTATAATCTTTTATGCTTATCTTATATCTTAACACATTGAGGGCAGATCATGGAGATTTCTGTGTTTTCATTCCCGATCGGCAAAGATGGGTCACAGAAACCTCAGTGTTTCATACATGTCACGGTTTCGCACTACTGAAGCCATCTGTTGATGCACTGTAGAGCCTCTTGTGCAACTGGCATTGATTAGAAGGACTGTAGACATGTAACAGTATGTTTTCTAATTGAAAATACTCTCCTATAATAATATATTTCCCTCTCTTTTCTAATATTTATCAACATCAAAGTAATCAACATAGTGGCACCCAACAAGAAGCATTTGTTTTCCACAGATGAATGTTTAGCTGATTTATGTGCAGATGGTTTGTCTGATGTACCAAAGGAGTGTGAAAATGAAAGTGAGAGTGATTATAGTGACAGTGAAAGTGATTTTGATTACTCAACTAAAGCAAAAAAAAAGGAAAACAGTTCCTATTGTCAGCATTGACAGAGACAGTGACTTTGAATTTGATGCATGTAATGATGATTTAGCTGGTAGGGACTCTACTACCAGACTAAAAAATGATGTGACAATAAATTTAGAGTAGTTTAAGGGCATTTCAGATGTAAAATGTCTGTCAGACAATTGTGACAGCATCCCCGAAGTAGCAGGAATTATCCTTAGGCATGAACATTTCAAAAGACTATGTGATGAATCAAACCTCTGTCATAGTCAAAATCCAAACGAATAAAAATTGTCAAAATCATTGAAGTGGTCAAATATTACAATCCAAGAAATGAAGAAATTCTTGGCCATCATTCTAATGGGTCATGTGAAGGAAGATTCCCTAAAAGATTACTGAAGCACTGATCCATACGTATGTGTATGTGTAAAATGGCCGGGAACCAAAGGGTAGCATACTGAACATAAGTTAGGTTTGCATTAGGTTTTTTCCTTCACATAGTTGGGGTTCTTGTTGTTAAATGGCATAAAAACTGGCCTAGAGCATTTTTGGAAGTAGTAGACATGATCAAAAAATCAGCTGTGGCACTAAAAGAGTTAAAGTCCCAACAGTCTGCCAAGTCATGCCTGTGGCACTTGTCCTTAGTCTCAATCATCAATGAAACCTCCAGATGCTCAAGAAACTAAAAGCATCTATGCCACCAAGATATCATCATCAAAATAGATGCAAGTACAGTTTTTATCAAATTAAATTCTAAATCCATTCCCATATTTGGATTTTTTTGCTGCACTGAATTTGGAGAGATTTAAGAATTCAAATGTATGCATACACACACCTGAGATATTTTCACATTATGATGCTGACCTTCTTTTGCTTGACCTTTTATTAGTGGTTCCTAAAAAAGAGGTTTTATTTCATGCTTTCTTTGAATGAAATCTCTTATAATTTACATAATTTATTCATCATTTATTTATACATGTTATAATTTACGTACAGGGTGTACCAAAAGTAGGTATACAGTTGTATGCATGAACTGTGTAAGAGAACTGTGTAACACATGGAAATGTTAATCCCTTAGATGCTCAAAGGGTTTGCCCTCATTCCTGGAGTCTGTCTGCCACACTGCAATATACTTTGTCACAAAGATCTTTGTTTGCATTTGATTCTATTAACTACCTGCAAATAAAAATTAAAATAAAATAAGCAACCGTATACTTTTGGCACGCCCTGTATATATATTCATAGTTTATCAATATATTATTATCTGCCTATCATTCGATCCCAGTTTCATTATCTTCATTCCTGCAATGAATTTCTTCCATTTCTTCCTGTCAGGTCCTCTATGAATGGAACTTACCCTATTTTATAACTTGTCTCTATATGTAAAATGTGCCTCAATAAAGCAAAAAAGGGACTTAACATGCACATGCTGAGAAAAAGGAACTGGCAAGGATTACCTCTCAGCAATCCACTCTTGCACATTGTGAAAGCCTGATAAATGGAGTCCTGCAGTCTGTGAGAAGGAACTGTTGAAGCATGAGAGAATGACTGGTGAGAATGAGGTGCAGCTGGTTCCCACATCAGCAGGTCTGTGTTTAACCTTCAAGGGAACAAAAATATCCATTAGATGGAAAAACCATGAACTTTTAAAATGTAAATCAAGTTTCATAAAATTTTACTTCTCATCAATCTACAAGCTGTGAAAGACAAAAAAGGGACTTCGGAAAGCAGTAGCCACTAATCCTGCACACGGCACTTGTGTACTTGTTATCCCAACTTACAAGCTAACATTAGTAACTAGCAAATAACAGAGGTGTGAAATGATTCCTTGTCACTACCCTCATGAGGAAATCCATTTAAGCACCAGAAATGGCTCAATTCAACTAGAATTTTAGGTAACCTTAGAAACTAAAGAGGTTTCCTAATTATAACATAATTGCTGAGGATGAGATAATAAGTAGGATAAGGAAGCTTAATGCAGGGGAAGCATCTGGCTTTAGTAGGATTCTTTTAGTCAGATCATCTTAGAAATAGGATTTTGTATGGTATGGTATGGTATGGTATGCTACTTGGGCTGGAAATTAGCTATAACAGTATGAATCTGTAAGAAGAGAGATAAGAGCAATCCAAGGAATTTTTGGCCTGTCTGTCATTTCACAAACAAGCTAGGAAAGGTCATGGAAAGCATTGTAAGGAAACATCTTGGCCCTAAGAACTTGATCATTGGAACTGTAAGCTTTGCTTCATGAGGCAGTGTTCCTGTTTTATCACTAATCAGCTAGAATTTTAAAATGGATAATGGCTAAGATATGAATGGATCAAATGGATTTAAGGAGTCCAGGATAGGATGAAATGGCATATGCATGGCAAGGCCTTCATCCATTAATAAATAGGAAAATGGTTAATGATTAGTTGGATATGCTTGGATAAAGGGAAACTGGTAATGCTGTATAATTAGATTTTTGAAGGAAAAAGGTAAAGAAATCAAGAGCTTGTGGGGACAGGTAAGAACCAATCACATCTAAATGCATGAAATGAAGGAGACCTCATTAAGGGCTTTGAAATCATGTAGGGTGATAAGATTCCCCAACTTGCTTCTGACAGTAGAACAAGGGAGTACCAGTTCAAGGTATATAAACCACAAGACTCAAGTGGCACAGAAACATTTTTATTTGTCATGTAGTAAATGGGTACAATGCACTAGGTGAATGTACAGTGGCTCCTTCTGTGAATAACTTTTAAAAAGCCATGAGGTGAGGGGAGAAAAATATCTGTAAATAGCTAGGCAGTAAATTGAAATGCTTCTGCCAAAAAAATTTATTTGTAAAGAGGGATACTGAACTGAGACAGGAAGGTGTTAAGATGACTGCAAGGTCTCAATTCAAGGTGTAAATATTGACAATACGGCCAATAATATTGCCTTGAATCATTATTACTTAATCTCAGAAAGGTACAACTATGAAGCTAATCATTTGATTGCATGTGCCATACCTCAACATCAAGAGGTCAATTATTAGAGAATTTTGGACATTTTTCTTTAGCCAGGATCAATGAGAATTAACCCCTTAGTTGGGAAGTTTTTACCAAATGCACTGTAGCCCATGGGAGGTCAGACATCAAAAGATGTCTAACCCAGTTAAGGAGTTAAATATACTATAATGGCTATGCAAGCATATGCAGGACCCACCTGTTATAGATGAGCTCATAAAACTTTTTGCTGGGAAAGAAGAGAGTGAGACTAGGAATGCTCAGATCAATATGATACTGGCAATTTGACAAAGTGCGCTCAATGAAAGCATCCAGCTCAGCTTTGTCAGATGGTACCACAAGTTCCTCACCATCTACACCTGTGGAAACAAGATAGTGAATCAGAAAAGACAGAACCTTTCAGCTAATGAAATTACCTTGGAGGTACCCTTCTATATGATGCCCTCATGTTAACAAATTGCATATTAGGTCCATATAACCATTTAGATCCAGGAGTACCCATCTTTTTTCATTTAACAAAAATATAAAGACATGATACACACACACCCAAAACACTCAAGACAAATAAATATTTTTCAGTTATAATTAGGGCTGTCACAATAGATCGACGCATTGATACCACTATCGATGGTTGGAGGTATCGATAGTTTTTCGACCATCGTGATGTATCAGCAAAATATTTTTAAGGGGAGATGTCCCATTGGATTGAGGCGAATACAATCCATCCAGGCAGGGAAAGGAAGAGGTGGCGTGACCCACATGGGCTTGCAGTTTATCACGATCTAATTCTGGAAATGGTGGGACTGAGTAAATGAAAGAGGGGAAGGAAAAAAAAAAATCTTGGATCGAAGACAGAAGTGGGAAAGGAGAGGGAGGGAAGACCAAGGATTTTATTTTTATTTTTCTGTTTCAGTCTTTGGCTCGATCTCATCAGGTTCATGCTGTGAAAGTGGACTATTCTAACACTCCCTTGATTTCGAAACGTACATTTGTTCATCTCCTCTCAATATTCACACCTTTCTCTTTAGTATACAAGCTTAACTTTTTTTAAATATTAGCTTGCCCTTGGGAATTTTATCTCTTTACTTAAAGTGAACTCAAAGTGAATTTTTTACATGGATGTTGCTTATTATCAGCTGTACCGATGTTTTCTCAATCGCTGGTTTGGCACCATTGCCGTGTTTGCTATCTTCCAGTGCCAATGTCCAAAGAAGGCTGTGAAGAATGAAGAAAAATAGAAAAAAAATTAAATGAACAGGCTTGGCAACTGTTTGTACACAGCATTAAGAAAATATTAGGGTTGTCCTGATGCATCCATCAATGAATGGATGTAATCTTCAATAATTGGAGGCATGGTAGGTTTCATTACTCTTAGCAAAGGTCACACATTCCCCCCGCACCTCCCGATCACAAGCGTGAGATTATGGAAGACGGATAGAGGTCCATGCTCCGATTAAGTCAAGAAACGATGGATGACAAACCTACGCCCAATTGCAGCTAGAAAATATTGAATCCTTTGCCCCCCCCCCCCCCCACTGCATTGATAAACTATTGATAGTTCAGGTCGATGCATCGATGTTTTGAAAACTGCTATCATGACAGCCCTAGTTATGATACACAGAGGAAGATGTCAGCTTGGCACAGGGATCAGACTTCAATAATTTCAACATGTGCAACACATGCTACACCCATACATTCTAGACATACAGAATAGCATGCTACCCTGTGGCTAAACAGACAATTTGCAGAAAGCTGGTGGGTCACCTGTTGCCAAAGAGCTTGCTAATGCAAGTCAACCCCTTGTGTCCTAGGTTTTACTTTGAAGCCTAAACCACTCAACCTATTGGACCCAATTGCAAACAGGCACATCCATACACATGCTATCAACTATTTCAAGTACAAAGGATATGGACTACCTTTTTCCCCATGGGAAGGATTTGGTGCCAAGTTGTACAATATCTGCCGCTTTGTGAAAGGAGAAGGGTCTCGTCCTTCACACTCCTTGACCAGAGGACCCATGATGGACACAGAACTTGGCTCACAGTCCACCAAATTATCACTTGTTCTATCACATCCATACATGTGAGCTTCAGCTCCATATATATGCAAGGTGAGTCTGTCAAAAGATAAGAACAAGAACAAAGAAACTAGAATTACCTGCATGCAATAGAGTGATCATATGTTTTCAATGTTGAAATGGGTAGTATTGAACATAACCTAGACCTGGAACCTACTGTAAATTTCACCATTTCTCATCAGTATTTGAATCCTTCTCATCAAGAAGGCTTGATAAAAATAACAATTTGGCATGAAAGCTGTGAATGAATAAAAGATTGGAGGTGACTGAACATGACTGACACCTACCTAGGGATGCCAGCATCCTCAGCATCTGAGATACAGGAGCCCCTGAGGAAGGAGATCATTTCTTCAGGATGTGAGGCATTCTCAAGGTATGAGACATGGATGTCTTTGGCAGTCACATCAAGTTCTATCTTTGGACTTCCTGATTCAAAGGTTGTTGAGAAAGCACCATCAGACAGATCAAAGACAATGGCATCAGGACGCACATTTCGCTGCCACCAAGGAGCACGACTTGTGTCATGTAGAGGGCGCAAGTCAGGGATTGGGAACCTTTTGAACAAGAACAACTACAGTCAGTGACTCCTGTTTACACTGATGGAATCCAGACATCAACTGAAGGGCTGCAAGGAAAACTGGTCTACCTGCGAAAAATTCATTTTTCAACCATTAAAAAGCGAAGAGAAGATCCAAGTGACTGTCCTCTTAAAAGTAGGGAAAAGTGACACATTGAAAGACCAGTTTTCCACTTACCCTAATAACACAAACTATTGTCTTCAATGAAAGGGACTCTCTTTATATTAGACTAATCTTCTGCTTCTTTGAGTTTGTTTTCAGATAGACCAGTTTTCCTTTCAGCCATTCAATAATTGGCAAGTGCTCTAACCTGAAATGCAACTTGGCAGAAGAGAATACTATCTGGATGCTGGTAATATGGCCTGGGGCTGGATCAGATATCATGTCATGGAGCGTTCCCTAAGCAAAGAAATGTATTCTTTTAAAAGCAATATCTGGAGTCAGATAAGAATCTGAATACAGAGGCTAAGAGCTCTACCAGGACATGCCAAGATTGGCAAAGCATAAATACAGCAATCCAATGAAAAATCAAAACTCTTTCTTGGTAGGGTAAAACACCCAATGTGTCTTTTGATGGCCTGTACTCAATGATGGGCCACTGCACAGAAAAATTCCAAAAACTAGGCACATGTAACATGAACAGCTCTGAAGTATATATATATGTGTGCTTGCGTGCTGCTAGCCTATGTTGCAACAGGGGTTGGCATGTTATGGAAGCTTAGCTTTTGACATTTTTGTGATGTGGCTCATCAGTGGGAATCAGTCCATCACTGGGAATCAGTCTGTCACTGGGTATTTTACCCTACCCTTGTAAAAAATACTTTTCATGCTAGCCATAGGTGTTCTTTGGTTCTGTTCTTCCCTCAAAGCCAGTATATCTCTGTTCTAGATTAGAAACAGAAAATATTTAAACTATATTATCAAACTTTAACATTTCAAGAAGCAATGCTTTTGAAACTCACAGTTGATTCCACATTTTTCTTAGGAAGAAGCTGAGTCCATAGCAGAGCACCAAGCCTATCAGTAATTGAAATGTCCACTTCAGATGTGAAAGGGGCAAAATCAAATCTGAGCTGCAGATGAGGTCTTCCTTGTCGATGATGGGCTGGGATCAAATATTCTGTATAAGTGACATCAAGTCTAATATCAGTTTTACCGCTCTGCTTCTCAGCTGAAGAGGTCTGCTTTCCAAAATCAAGAAGCTGAAAATAATAAAACATATTTTATTCATGAATGAAAATTCACTTGAATCAAATACAAAGACACAACTAATAGTATCAACAGTGTTTAGTTCAAAGTCCACTCAGATTCAATTCCTTACAGGCTGAAATCACTAAAAATTTTGCTGATAATTTGTTTAATCCATTTCAATTCATCTTCCTAGCTGTATGCTATTTGTACCAACTGGAACAAGACAAGCAAAGCCCAGTTCCGAACAAAGCCTGCCAAGACTTACAGATGCAAGCTGAAACCAGACAGGGAGGATTGAGTATTTGTGAGCATTGATGTTTATTGTACATCATTACCAGAGGCTCTGTATTTTTCAACTTTACAAGTTCCTCTATAATTTCATTAGGATAGGCATGACGAGGAAAAAGGAGGTCCAGAGGTACCAGAGACCATTATAGTAAAAATGACCCCTGGGGCAAATTAAGTTCTTTTTTTTCTAAAAGGCTTAAGTGGCCCTGCATGTACAAGTTACCAAAATTTACTAGACTGGTAGAGGTTAGTAAGTGTTTTGAACTGCATTTTCCTTATTTTTAGAGTTGAAAAAAAAAAGAGGGAAAAAAATGTCTATAGACATAAAAAAAAGAAATAATTTTATGCCAACAGAATTTAATTCCAGCTTGTCAGGCCACACACAAATTCACCAAAAAGCACCAGGTATGCAGATGAAGATGTAGTGATGTTATAAAGGAGTTTAAGTCCATGGTGTTGGAAAGAATATCCCAAAATGATTTTAAATATGCAATTGTATCATGTAAGCAAAATAAAGAAACCTCATTCAGTTGGAGGTTATATTTCTACTGGGTATATGTAGTACAGCACATTCTAATGCTGAATTATGATTGGAAGAAGGAAGCAGCGAAGAACAGATCCAGGATCCATTATTTTTCTGTTACTGCAGGTTCATATTTGGCTATCACTATTACCCATCTCTAACAAATACAAAAACAAAGAGCCCATGAACATAGTTTTTACATTCAAAAGTTTTCATCAGTTTACATTTCCCTAATTGCTACTAGCATATTTAGCCCCCTGAGGTATGTCTTCATATGGAACAGGCAGTAAGACTTTTCTGCATAAAACAGAATTCTCGCCATTGTAGGGTCAAAGAAATGTACTTACAACAGAATCTTCATAGAGCAATGATTCATCTTTTCCCTTCATGCATAAGCTCTCAGTCAGGATGGCATTTGCAGCTGAAAGGTGGCAGAAGATCACAGACTTTGAACTTGAGCTCTTCTCACTTCCTTCAAGGGATACTGGAGCAGCTAGAAGCCTGGAAATGGAACCATTTTGTCCAGCCTTCTTATTCATACATTAACCCAGATCCACATCATTTATAGGTCCTTGATTCCTCCAAATCCAAATACTAGCTATAGTATGATGATTCAGAGATGAATATTGAGTCATGTTTAGATGGAAGAGTATTAAAAAAGATCAGAAATGCATGCATATCTGTCTACACTAGTTTGACAAAGGGGGTGATTCACTTTATCTTTATCTCTGATGTCCCATGTCTCTTAGTAATCATAAATAATTTGTTGATAAAGACATGTTCTTACTACTGAACTCATTATTATCTTGCCTTCTCCAAAAATGGGTGTGGGGGAGTAGGAGGGTACACCAGATGTGATCATATATTAATTTAACAGAGATGATACCCTTTTTTTTCAAAACCACTAATCCCAAAGTGGGATTATCATTATCACAATTCGAGCAAGCCCAGGAGCATCATTTTCCAGTGTTTGCACTTGTTGCCACAACATGCACGACTGGTCTTTTGATGATCTCTTTATAATGTAAGACTCTCTCGGGGGAGCATGCAGATGTGTTGGAACCAATGGGCTTAGGATCTCTTGATCTGAATACATAGCTGCTCGACCTGGAGGTTCTCATTGATCCTGGAGCTCCACATGCTCTCACTCGGTGGGACACAGGCCACCGACCGCAATAACCTCACTGGGACAGCTTGCATCCAGGATCTGATTCTTTTGGTCATCACCCACAGTTCATGACCATAGATGAGGGTAGGGAGGTAAACACTCTTAAAAAAGGGAAAGTTTCACCTCCTTGGAATTTTCAGATTTCACATCCACAGTCCTCCAGAGTACCCGCAAACCTGCGAAGCCTTGGAGAAGAGGCTGTCGATCTCATTTTCATATCGCCCATCACTCCCGAACCAGACTCTGAGGTACTTAAACTTCACCTGTTCCAGTGGGGTGCCCCTGACAAGGCGCACCATAACAGGAATTCTTGAGTGGACCATAACCTGCATTTCAACACAACTAATTGTTTGCTCGATCTCATTCCAGCCACAGTACATTCCGAGTCAAACTGACCCAGCACACCCTGAAACTGCTGTCGTTCCGAGCCAAAAGGACAGCATCATTGGTAAAGAGAAGCATCTTTACCTCATTACAACTGATGCTGGTACCCTCAAGGTCCATGTTACACCTATAGATCCTATCCATGTACACATGGAACAGGAAAGAAGAGAAAACGCAAGCCTGACAGGCATCCAAAATGTACTAGGAACAAGTCCACAGCTCATCTCGTTCACCTGAGCACAGCTCCTGCTATCACTGTATAAGGGTTGAATGGCCTGCAGTAGCCAGCCATTAATCCCATACTCCTGCAGTACTCCCCACAGCTTCTGTCAAAGAACACGGTCATACACCTTTTCAAGATATGCAAAATACATGTCAACATCTGTGACATGTTCCCAATGTCTCTCAAGGATCTTGTGAAGAGCAAGGAACTGGTGGGTGATGCTGCACCACAAGCAAATGCACACTGCTTTTCTTAGATGGCTTTTCCAACAACTGCATCTGCTCTCTTTTCTAACACCTTCAAATAGACTTCACCAGACATATTGAGAAGAGAAATTCCTTGTTAGTTGGCACACTCCCTTGAGTTCCTGTTCTTAAAATGAGGAACCACCACACCAGTCTGCCAATTCATAGGTGCAATCCTTGATCCCACACGGTTCAACATACCCTATGCAACCACCCATCGATGCTCATCGCTTTCAGTGCCTCGGCCTGGATTTCACCTACACTAAGAGACTATTTTCAAGCTAGCCATCGCTTGTTGAACTTTCTCTATGGTGAGACCAATCTCCAAGCATATTGGCTTTGGGTGGGTTAAAGAGCTGCTCAAAATGTTTCTTCTGTGTATTTCTGCTTTGGCAATCAAGATCTTCCTGTTTCAGTCTTCCATAACCCAGGGAGTATGTTGCCTGCCTGGCCAGAGTTTCTGAATGGTTTGCCAAAACATCTTGTCAGCAGTGTGGTAGTCATGTTCCATTTCTTCGCCAAATTTCTTTCAAGCTTCTTGTTTTGCCTTGGCTACAGCTTGGGCAGCAGTTTTTTGTGCCTCTCTGCAACACCTGTGAAGAGTCCAACCTATTTGGACACATATGCCCCATAGGCTGGCTGCCTTTTTGAAAGCAATGGCCAGTTGTATTCCTGTCATTCACCAGGGAATCTGCTCTGTGTTACTGCATGCCACTCCAATTAAATGATATTACCATTCATGCACATAACATGAAGCAAACATATGCTGAAGTATTCTGCAGCTAGAACATACATTGATCTTTCCTGTGTGCCCATAATTAAGACTAACCCTTGCAAGACTCTAATGACGTACATTGTACATCAAGCTAGTACATGTAAGACTCGATTGCTTGCTGTACATCATTGGAGTCTCAAAAGGGTTAATAAAACAAAGATGTGCACATTAACCTTTTCACTGTGAAAAGTGACTTTAGTTGCTTGGTTGACCCTTCACTGCATAATTTGACTTATTTAAACCCCTGAACCTAAATTCAATCTGCAGCGAAAGGGTTAACAAATATTATTTTACAATAACAATTTGCAGAAGACAATCTGATTATCACCAACCTGCAATGGCTGAATGCACATGCATCTCGGAAAATCTTGTCTGCTTTACGGAATTCATTCTGTGTGAATCCATCAGATGTATAGTTTTCAATAGATGAGAAGAATTTCCCAACCATAGACTTCAGCTGATTGACAGAAGACTTGGCCAAATGACCTCTTCCATCCACAGCACAGGTCAAGATGTCATCATGAAGCAATATCAGAGCCATAGAGCTCAATCGAACTTGGAAATGGGTCAACTCAGACATTCCTTCATCACCTTTTCCTATAAAAGCATGATGAGAATACCTGACACAAACATATAAATTGTCCTGATGAATAATGAAAGACATGCTCGTTGAATTGAAAACAAAAAACAAAAAAACATAGAAACAAGATGAAGTTACAGAATTTGGGCAAAATAATATCCCTCAATGAACTTAGAAGTAAATACTTCAACAAACACTCATTGACATACTCATCCAAGGAGTATGTCACACGGGTCCAAGAATCATCTACATCATTTTGTCAGAGAGTGAGAATAAACCAAAAGGTTCTTTGACAATTCTTTGCCTAGGTAACATCAATTTGTAACTGCTCTTCATACTAATGGATGCCTGTCATGCAGAGGAAAGGAAAGTGGTCTTGTCTTCAGCTTCAAGAGTGCATAGTTCACAACATTAGCAGTGGAGCAATGAATGGGATCATTTCAGTAGCATTGTAATAATGCCCAATAATTGAATAGTAACATTTGGCCGGGGACTCACCAATGTGATTTATTTTCTTGCTTGTTTTGAAGTTATCCCTTTCTGTTCCCTTCAAAAGGAAACTTCCAAGGGGATACCTAAAAGGAATAAAATTAATATATGACAACAGTTTAAAGCTATGATATCCTCCCTTGGAAAACAGATCAGATGAGAAAACAGATGAGGTCAACCAGGAGCTTTATGCCATCCATGATCCATCACACAGTAATTTTTATGTCATTCCCCAATCATATTATGATCTGGAAGTTTGGGGCGAAATTCTTGCCAGAAACTCTCTCTATTGTTTTCATGTTACTGCACATGCAGCCATCTTCAAAAGAGTTATCCATCATTTTAAAACATCATGTGATTTTTACATCTAAAGAATCGGAAAGAGATGGGCTTTAAAAAAATGTATGCAGCACAGTACTCTTCCATATGAGAGGTAAAAGTTACAGCAGGTCAAATGTGGGGAGGGGTTTCAGGGACACCCTGTATGAAATTGGCATGCAAGAAATGCAGAAGAAAGCAAAGGTGCTATGAGGATCCAACATCAGCCTTGAAAGAGTGAGAAGCAAAAAATTTCAGGACATGTGAACTTAGTCATTAATGAGTTCAGGTTATGTTTCTCAAAGGTTCACTTAAAGATGTGTCAATCCTGTCTGTTAATTGTGAGCCATCCAAAAATAAGTTGTTGATTTATTTATCAAACACTGTAATTTTTCATTTTACTCCCCTCTATCTGCCCCCTTCCTGCATGAAACTATGTATATATGCAAAAAGGCAATGGATTTTCCAATGTTTTGCATCATGCCAAAAAATCCTCTTCAAAGGCAACATCCTTTCTTCCTTCACATTACACACAGTTTTCTGATGATTACATATATTCCTGATACACTGAAGCACTATCAATGGTTCAGGTCAAAGTTTCAAAGTCTTTAAGTTGATCATTACAGCCTTTACTAATGCTTAATACATACCCAGCTGCAGTTGAAGATGCAAAGGTGACAGATGAGGAAAGGCTTCCAGTTGAAGTGTCCATCTGTGAACTGGCATTATCTGCTGATGAAGGGGCCAAGGAACCCCCAGGAGGGCAATGACGATAACCATGCTTTCCTCTCATGGGAAGGAACTCTTCATCTTCTGTGTTGGGCAAACACACATTAGAAAATGCATATTCTGAAGCCATGAGAAACAAAGCATCTTCCAGAGCATCAGTACCCATATATAAAATACTGGGTTCTATAAACTTGGAAAAAAGTACCCATACATAAAGTAATTTATAAAGTAGGTTCATATACGTATCGTTTTTGCTTTTTTTTTATATAAACATAAAATATCATCTTTCATAAGACAGAAAACTCAGCCTCATATACAGGTGCTCTTCCATGACATTAGTAGTGAAGGAGGTAAGACTGAGGGGCTTTTAATAATTCCTTACAACCAGAAACCAATATAAGGAACATTTAATAGCACAGTTTCCTTCAATCCTTTTCTGTAGAATAGACAAGATAATTATGGATAAAGCAGTTTAAACCCTTAAAAAAATATGCCTGTTAGGGAGTCCTAAGAAAATACATATAAAATATATACTTCATTTAAGAAGTACATACAAGAAGCTGCCTTAAGAGCTCCATGAGATAATACAGAAATTAAGCTGATTTTAATTTTTGGGGAATCCACTTCTTTGCTATGACCTTCCTTCATATCAGTTGCAAATCGGCACTAGCCCATAAACATTGGTATTGATAATGAGGAGTTTCCTTTTTTTTGCACCAAATATATTTTCCCCATTCCCTGGCTCACCTAGGGAATGACTGGTCCACCCTTGCATATTGGCCAAATTTGAAGGTGCCATCCAATTCTTCTCTTGGATCTGTCTTTGAAGTTCCTTTTCAACCTTTTCAAAATCGTCTGATTCCATCGGCTTGTCACGAGAAGTTTGGGTCTTCTGGTAGCCCCCAACATTGCTGGTGTCTTCCATGCTAGGGGATGCAATCCCCTCAAGCATGGCAAGAGCTATATGAGCTTGTCTTGGAGTGAACAAAAGAATAAGAGAGCCACAATTCAGCTCCAGGTCAACCTTGACACCTGGGACAGTCTCAACAAGTTTCAATCGAAGGCGCAATTCCTGCCTCCCAGTTAGGTGGCCCAGAAGAATTGGTTCTGGTCCATTGCAAATATTGCTTCCACCTTCTGATTCTGGAGATGAGTCTGTCTTGGGATTCAATGTTTCAGAGAAGGACTGAAACATGTCCTAGATGAAAAGAAGAATGAAATGTTCTCATCTTGATCTACTTTTATTAAAGATCAAAACAATGGATAGCCTGCAATTCTGACACTGTTTTATACCTTCATAATTTCCAGATCACTGGATCTGGATAGTAAAAATGTTCAGTATATTGCTCATACAATAAATTTTACACCTCTAGCTTAGCTCAGTAGCTGAGTAGCTCAATAGATCTGTGAAACTGCACAAGATGAACACAAACTTTTGAACCATTTCAAGTCAAAGACTTTCTGAGTTATGTGATTCTGCACAAAGGCATGGAAGTCTAATCCTTTGATATTGGCCAACCAGAGTGAAAATCTAATTTCCTGGCATATCAGAAAGAGTGATATGTTCCCAATGTCCCAGATGAGTTGGCATGCACAGCATATGCTAGCAGGGTTGAGTAGAAGGCCAACACGAAATGTAAATAATAGAACCATACTGGAAAGCCACTGCATTAGCATTCATGCAGGAAGGACCTGGCTAAATGCAGATAAGTTTCATTGAATGTTGAATGCTCTTGGCAAGATGTGCATCCTTGTAATGCCTACAGATAACATACCTTCAATTTCTATTTTTAATTTTGGGAGCAAGAAAGTCACCTTTATGACTTTTGCTAATTTTAGATTAGAATTTTAGATTGCTGGGCTGGTAAACCCTGCAAAAGCATTGAAAATCAGAGATGCCACCAACAATACTTTTGAGATTTTCATCTTTGATGACAGCCAGGTATGCCTAGTAATCCTTTCTTAGCCCGAATGACCCAATGAAAAAATTTCTTCACTTAACCAAATATTCAATATTGTAGACTCCTTTCACTCCTCACTATTTCAATGCAATTTCACTCTGGAGTATGTTCACATTTCTGCACTTAAGTTCTTCATCCTGCTACATTAGAGGGCTGAGTTATATGCAGAAATAATAAGCACAGGAAACGGGCAGGTGAAAAAAATCCAAGTCATATTGTCTTGGAATAGACACAGCAGGGCAAATGTTATAAATACCTGGGTAGTGACACCATCATGACGTGCAATAGTTGAGTCAATACCTCCCTTAACCCAAGGATGCATGATTAAACTATTATATTTATTTTCATAGGTCAGACCTATGGGACCCAACCAAAATAACACACATTAGTTAGACTTTTGAAGAGAACATTTAATTTATTAAAGGAATTTCAATGTAAGAAATAAAAAAATTAAGTATGGTATGCACTAAACATTTCTTAAATTCACTAGTATGAGTCCCAAAGACCCCTGTCATGCATCCTAGGGTTAAGAACGAGTCTGAGATGAATGCATGGTATCAAATCATTTTGCAAGGGAAATTCAAATTAAATAAGTCCCTGATGTATTTTCAAAACGGTGCCCTTTTTTTTTAGCCCTTGTTGCACCAAGGAGACAGCATCTGTCTCCACTAAATATTTCATTGCAAACAAATCAATATGACAAGGGTTATTAAAGAATATGTCGCTTTCAAGAGATATCCAAAAGTTTCACTGGGAGCCTGGATGGGCTACCTATAGAGCTAAATGTCTCATTAATTATTTTGCATGAAGTTTTCAATGAGTTGCAACATGAGCAAAATACCCAGGCAGATTGAGAGCAGACAAGTGATATCAGTTGGTTCAGAATTTTGAATGCTAAATAAGCATGTCAACACATAATGTATGTATAAATATGAACACTGAAAAAATATGCACCCAACCAAGAAACTGACCTGGTCATGAGTGGATGCACCAAGAGAAGAACTGTGACTACGGGAAAAAGTTCGAGCCCGAGATGGGAATTCATCAACAAAGAAAGATACTCCATGGAAATACATTTTCTTGATAGAGAAAGCTGCAGGTTGGTAACCCTGCTTTGGCATGTCTTCTCCCTTACGCATCTCCACACCAGCTTCATCAAAATAATCTATCCTGGGAAAACAGAATGAGGTTGAAAAACAAATGAACATGACATGAGCAGATGTGTGCCAGCTGAAGAAGAAACTTACTGCTTCACCCGGATTTCAAAAGCAACTCCAGTATTGCTGTTTTTTGGTACATGCTCAACTCTGAAGGTGGTATCCAACAATCGTACTTTTACCTTCGAGAGCACTGTATGAAAGCACAAAAAAGAGAAACATGATCTCATGATGGCATGGAAAACACTATGGTAGAAAATCAGGTGTAGCACCAGTATGGCAAGAGGCACTGCCCATGTTTTCTAACAGACAAATAGTGAGATGAGTCCATCCTTCTAAGGGGTAAATAATAATAATATGCAATTTTTCCTTTAAGGAAGGCAAAAAGCCCTTAGAAGTACACCACCAGATATGTCTGGGTCTCTCAGAGAAACTTCTACATGGCAATAGCATGGACGAACAGCTTCAATTTGGTAGCATATCAATTCATGAGAGGCATTGCTTTTAATTTAACCCTGACAAACAATGAACATTTAAAAATTCATAGAATTTTTAAAATTAAATATAATATTAAAGCAAGAGCTTCAGCATAGTATTCAATATCAAAATCAAATTGTGGGAGAATGATAAAAATTATTTCTGAGCCACAGCCTACCTGTGTCAATAGCCTGAGCAAACATCTCCAATCCCTCAAGTGGTTGTCCATACTCAGGCAGCTTTGGGTCACCTTTCTCAGATCGAAGACATTCTTCTGCTATTTGTATGCTACTTGTCATGGAGCCCCACATGGAATCAAATACTGATGCTAAGGGAATTAAATAAAATAACCATTATTCATTCTAACCCTCATGAAATGAAAGTGGACTCAACATAATCCCACACAAATCTGAATGAAATAGGTAATAAACATGAAAAAGACACTATTATTATCAAGCTTTTTGTGAGAATAACAGTGCATTCACATAAGATGCAAGAATCAGGCCACATCAAGGATGAAGCCAGGGGGTTGTCAAAAGGGTCTGGACACCCCCTGAAGTGGGGCAAGACTTCATGGAATAAACTAAAAGTAAAATGAGTATTCACTGCATATTGCCTCCCAGGCAAGAAGAGGGGATTGAAGGCCTATCTCATTGGATATGATAGGATACAGGAAGAAACTTGCAAAGAAACTACTAGTCCAGGCATGTATTCCCTGCAGGTGTTGGTTTTCATCCACTTTTCCATATTTACTGTTGCTTAGCAACTGAACAATTTTCCAATGAGAATCCCCTTTTGCCCATACTTGAGTTGAGCTATGTCTATGCAAAATTTCATAATTTCACATTTTTTAGTTTCTGCAAATTTGATGAAGAGCAAACCCTGCTGAAGCATCAACTTTTCCAACAGTTCTGGTTTGACTGACGAACACACTTAAATTCTTGCCTGCCTAGTTGCAGTACTATGACTACATATGCAAAATCTACATTGCATCTGCTCAATGCTGAACTCCTAGTTTCCAAGAGTGCTTTCTTAATTCAACCATTGGATTTTTTCCATTCATCCATCCCAAGGGTGAAACTAAATTGTGGGGGGGCTATCATGGCCCAATCAAAAAATGCTCCAAAAGAATACAAAGGACTATTGAAAAGTCTAAGACTGGACAGGCACTTGAAAAATCAACCAAATCTCAAGGGAAGTAGAGATGGGCTTGATTGTGATTGAGGGTGGATTGAGGGTGATAGTGAAAGGGGTGTATCATGGCACTGCAACTCTGAGTCAGTAATTGGTTTACAAGAGCAATTAAATGAAGACACTCACCGAAATCATCCCTCTGCTTTGGCTGAACTGTCAATCTCAAACCTCTCACTTCCATAAAGATACTTTCATTGAGGAGAGAGGACCAAGGAATAGATATGGTGATTTCACCAACATATCCCTCAATGAATTCAAGTGGAAGATGATACTGCTCTCCAAGTTCATTGAGGCCCTGCCAAAAAATATTTTTTAAGTGACATCATCCTTTCATTCATTCATTTCTTATTCTGAACCTCTCTTAACTGAATAGAAATCAGAGAGCAAGTTTTCACAGTACACATACTGATCCATAAGGGACAGATATTGGCCTGAATTATTGAAACCTTTCCAGTTTTCTATCTATTCCATAGGTGGTTCCAAATAGTTAATGTAAAAAAGTTCTGCAATTTGCATTCTCCCAAACCTCCTGACTCTCCTGCCAAACAGGTGAGTCTGGCATGCAAGCTATCATTATCCGCCAGGCCATCTTTGCATTAAACAATTCTATATCTTTTCAAATACTCACAGAGGTGTGGTACTTTCCCATTTACTTCTATCTCAAAGTGAACAATCCATTGCCCACTAGGAAGCCTCTGCTGATCTTGGCAGTCAGAAATGTGCTCCAGCTTTTTTTCCATGCAGAAATATTTTAATCAGATGGAGTGAATGTGTTCCAAGGGATAAAAAAAAAAAAACCTACAACAGCCCTTCTTTATATCTATTCTTGGGATATAACAGCTGCTAAGAGACTTTCCACATCAACATACCATGGGATAAGGGGGGTTATCCTAAAAGGAAATGCAAGCTATCTTCACAGTGTCCTGGAACAAAAAATTGATTTTGAAGATAACCTTGACCCACATGAACATGTGAAGGATATCTGTCACTGGTGCATAAACAACTGGTGGGTCTATTGTTTAAACGTAAAGCTCCAGCTATACAGGGCAGATTATTAGCTACCAAGATGACTCCCACACTTTAATATTGTTTTAAAAGGAGATTTAATAATTACAAGAAATCATTTCAGTCCCACTAGATACAGACAAAACTTTCATCAGTCCCAATAATACCACATCAGTATTTCCTGCCATTTCATAAATTACTCAGCATAAGTCAGATGGAAACAAAAAAGGGAAGTTCCTACCATCCATCCTGACTAAGACATGATGGTGCCAGCAACTCCTTCCAGAGTCACAAGGCTTTCTTTCATTTGGAGTGGAATAAAAAAAATAGACAATAACATTGCCATTTATGCAGCTTTCAAATAAAAAAATTAGATCCATTTCCTTCATTCAAAATGAAATTAATATGTTCTATTTTTGGTGCACCCAAAGCTTCTCCCATCCATTCAATATGTTATCCTGAGCATAATGAGACATAAATAAAAATATGCTAATCTACACGGACCAGATGACATGATGTTGGCAGTTTGTATACATCTGGAGGCAGGGCCATATCTAGAATTTTATTTCAGGGGGGGGGGGTTGAGGTCTGGCATACATGCTGTGGCTATCTTTTTTATATTTGTCATTGTAAGTTTTTGTGACATATCTAAATTTTCCTGTTAATAAGTCATAAGTTATTAAAGATAGAAAAGACCAAGTACTGCACCGTTTACACCGACAAATAGCAGTATGGCAAACATTTAAGGAAGATATTTTGGGGGGGTTTGAACCCCATGAACTAAGCCCTAAATATGGCCTTGTCTGGAGGGCTCATTTAAAATGGTTAACACTGGAGCTTTGTTGCATTGGTAGTGGAATGAAAGCAACTAATATGATGCTGTCACTACATTCATTCCTGCCCTGATTATATTATCTGTGAAGTGGGATTTCTCTCTTAGACTTCACAAAAAATGGAGAAAATAATGGACAAACTGATGCAAGGACCATAACTATAAGGCCATTGGGGTACCTGTAGAACCAAAAACAGAAAAAGGCTTGATAAAGGCAAGTTAGAAATAGTGAATTTATTGTCAGGATAACAAAACTTTGGCAGAGGAATGAGGATGAGATTATGGTGGCTGGATGCAAACCAATAATTTAAAAAATGCAGCATCAAAGCAAGAATGTAGTTTTGGAAAAAATTTTACAAATTGTTATGCAAACACTTGCTCTTTCATTTTTGAGGCCCTCAACAGGTTTCTACATCTTTAGAAAGATAGCTAATCTCTTAAGTGGGTATTTTCTCAGATAGAAGTCTACCCAATCGGGGGGACTTTTTCTTTGCGAGAGTTATAATTTTTGTTTGTGTATAGACATTAGCTACTCTTTTTCAAGTAGTAAATTTCTATTTCTAACCTTTGAATTTTGGGCTTCAAGTTCATATTTAACTCAAACTGAAAAAAATAGCATGACACACACACACATATATTTTATATATGGCATACTCATTTGAGAGGTTAAATAACTTTTGAGAGCACTCACCACCACATCAAGGAAGATGTCAGTGATCCTTCCAACTCCACTATAGAGATCAACACTTAACTGGTCCAATGTCAGCTTATGTTCCAAATATTGCCCTAGATACCGCTGAAGGAGATAGCGACATGCTCTGTTTTTCACAGCTTCTGACCAGGGAAAATACCATGGCATTCTCAAAAATATTGAGTGATTTATTGGATGAACATTGAATGCTTGAAGACCATAGTCTTATGTACAAGTGAGAACTTGCTCAAACTGCAGCATGGAACCTAGTGAGACCACAAGAAGAGGGAAAATGAATCCATAAATTCATAAAGTCAAAATGAAGCCATTATCCAATTTTTAAAGCAGTATATTATAATGGGTATGAAATTCACACTTAATCCTATGGAGGTAGTTGTAGGCCTAAGAGTGCTAGTACAATGATATAAAAAATGTTTTCACACTGGAAAATTTTGCATATCATCTAGAATACCTTCATAGCTATATGGCTCTGTTAATAATAATTAGAAACTTTGGAAGCTTTTTGGAACACTTCTTCCTTGAGATGTGTTACTGACTGGTCAGTTTAACCATTTATGATCAATTTAGGCTAATTACTCTTGTTTACAGTTTTTTCTCCAATTCATGTTACACTCCTCCATTTCAATGTCACAACCACAACTCTTTCTTTAGTTAAATTTAGCATTAGTGTGCATATGTGATTGGAAGTGCTTCAAGTATATTTCAGAGCAACTGGAACTGAGGGTTTCAGGTCATGGAGGGAGCCATATTTTTTGGATTAGTGTCAGAATTGGCTATGCCTATTGTAGATTTTCTGACATATCTCACATTGTAATCAAGGAATGCTCTTCGTGCTGATGAGTTCGCCAGAATTAGTTCAGAAAATAAAGTACTCTTTTCAGGGTCATATTACATCCATTCAGAGCCTGATACTTCCCCCATGATACAGCGTTGATGATGCGAAGAGCACTGGGCAAAGAAATATACAAGTCACTCAGATTTCCTTCTGCAATGCAAAAGTTGGAAGAACTAAGCAGAAACAGATCATTCACTAGGGTTCAAATAAACTCAAATTTATATTAACAATTAGAAGTGTACCTTAGTACCTTAAATATTGTGGAAGTCACTTCTTTGGTATATACAAGGAGGTGAGAGTATATCTCCCACAAAAATACCATAATTTATCCCAATATATTCTATTGCCTACAAATATGGAATACACTCCAAAAAAGAATTACTAGATCATGAGCTTTTCTCATAGTAGAGAAAATGCCAATGAAGACCTTCTATTATGAAGAATGCTTCTAATCAGAAAACCACAGGTGACTTCCATTTCTCATATTCCAACCCAGTCAGCCAGAGCAAACCCAATGGGTTCTATGAATGGGCCTCCTCTTCCTATCTTTCAGCTACTTATTTTTATTTTAGTCTTTAGTTTATTAATAATCTGCTTCCATTCTTATCTTTGTCTTGATGGCTTCCACTCTTCAATTTATACCATCTTTTTTTATGGTATAAATTGAAGAAGGTATGAATTGATGCACTCTTGCTGGTGCTTCAGGGACTTAATAGGGCGTAGCTCTATGCCCCACATTTTTTATCCTCAAAAATGTGACATTAGGCCTAAGGAGCCCATGTAAAAGATGGAAGGAATACACCAGCAAACTACTATAAGCATAGGCCTAGGGTGACCACTTGTTCCATTTTTCCTGCATTCCTCCTGTTTTTGTATTCCCATATCTGGGAATCTGTATTGTATCTGTACTTAACCTCAAATGTTCTGTATTTCCATGGGCATGCTCCTTTTTCTGCATAATATCGCTAACGTTGTACATCTGTCTCATATTTTAATATAGCGGATTTCATTTGATATTTTATCCAAGTATGGTGATTCCTTCAGCATTAGCCACCAACCAAAACTTGAAATTGTCCATGTGCGAGTATGAAGAGGGTGGTGTTGGTGAATATTTTCATCTGACGGTATCAGGCGCCTCGAGCGCCACTGATTCCAATCGTTCCTTGTCTTTCCCCTTTGTGCTCCTTATTTTTACGGTGCGCAGGTGGTCACACTATTTAAGCTTAATCTCAACGTAAACATTGGGACTGAAGTTCGGGGACGCGAAAGTCACTGCAGGAAAAGAAACGTATTTCTATCTACCTTGGATATTGGACACGTGGGACGCTTAAATATTGGCATTTTCAAAGGGCTACACAACACAGCATGCTGCGTACATGGCATGACACAATAACAGTGCACTCTGCTCGCAGATGAGCCATGTCTGAAGGCCTCACGCTGTCCTGTTGCGCACGCGCGAAGGTGCCCTCATCTCATCCACGTGCAACGCACGCCTTGGCCTGTCTTATCACTTGCCATTAAGTGGGTTGAACACGTGGAGCGTGATTGTTTAGTAGTGCATATTAGGCTCCACCGACCTTTGCGTTGATTTGGCTGGTCACAAACGCCGTGTATCATACCTCTGATTTTCATTGTGGGCATTCTTCCACCCATACCTTACGTATCCATCCAAAATTTTAATGGGAGGTACTGATGAATACATGTTAACGCCATAACCTCGGTAATAGATACATCAGTACTATCACTCTAAAACACTTTCGATGAACTACTCAGCGTCTTCGTTGAAGGACGTACCCGTACTCCACGTCACGTGGCGACCCAGATAACTCCTCCGTCCCAAGGTCACTCCGCCCTGTCGGTCACGCTTAACAGCGTTAGGCGTGAGTAGTTGAGCGTTTCCTCGCCCATATCACCATGGAATACGTCTCGTCAAAAACTAATGCGTGAAGACACCCAGGCTCTCTCACGTTTCTCACTGAGAAAGGATTGACACAAGATCGTCGTCAGACATACTATAAGAGTAGAACAGAGTACGTCCCACTTCTACCATGGAATTGGGTTTGGATGCGAAGAGCAAAGTTACACCTTCATGGTGAATGTGAGAGTAAACTGTCAAAAAAGCCTACGTCTCACTTCAGAATGAATCACTGCCCCCCTTTTCCCTCAATGTGTGCCGTAACAGTCAGCAACTATATGATTGCTTCATACTTGTCTGAAGGACAGCACTAAATTATTCTGAAACGTAAATGGCACGTGAAGTAAAGGATTCTACTTTAAAGATGCAGAGGAGGCTTCACCTTCAGAGCCTAATTCCACGATCCAAGTGTGACATACTTCGGAGGATGCTAGTCAACAGATTTTACTAAAATCATTTTATCCCATGATTCTATTATTTTTTACTATCGTCGGTATCGGGGTTTGGAATGCACTCCGAAAACTCGAGCGGATATTATCAGTTTCATCATGACAGTGCATTACATACCGGATGTGTCGATTTAAAAAAAAGTCAGCCACATCGACTCGATTACATTAAGAAATAATCAGAACTTTCCTACTTTCAAAAGGACATTGGCTACATTTTCCCCATCTCTTCGATTAAATACCACCCCTGCCCTGCTTCATTTCCCCAAGTTGCGGGAACAAGCTGGAAGGGCCGTAACCCTTATGTCCATCCCATCATGCTTATTCCCCTTTTTCTGCAAAGCCCATGAACAAGTTCATCGATGAAACGCATGTCCGGGCAGACTCAGAGGTCCACCTCTCCTTTTCCCTCAGTGTTCGAGACGACGGCTTGTTATTCTCCTCGCACCGGATGGCGTAAGGATAGCAGGGAATATTATGAAAGGATCTCCCTCTTCCTATGCTTACGTCATGAGTACTCGTCTTTCCACTCTTACTTTCTTCCCCTCCCGTTATTAGGGAACGTCGTATCGCTGAGTCCCCTGTTAGCCCTTTAGCGCCGCCTACTACCCTTCTCAGAAGTACTCACGATGCTCTCTCCCGCATATCTCGCGCACTCCCAGGAATCTCCTCGTCGATCTCTCTCTGGCGACGTTGGCTGTCCGAGTTCCTATTGATAAGTCTATTCGTTCATGTTTCCGAGTGAGCCTTCGAGTGTGGTGAACCGCCGTTGGGAATCATGCTAAAAGTGAGGCACCCTTCCCTTACACATGAATTCTATTGGAATCGGCTTTGGGACTCGTACGCGTCCAATTACACTAACTCATTCCGCGAAAGTAGAGTCTGGACTGGGTGTGAAGAGTAATCGAAGCGTATCATGGAAGGAAAATAAGAATATGAGGTAAAAGGAATGGGGGGACGGGGGGGGGGGGGGGGAAAACCGTGCCAGTGACCGAAAGCGGAGAAAATAGAGGTTGACCGTGGGAATAAAGAAGGCTGCAAACATCGATCAAACATTCTTCTCCAGCAACAATATAGGCAGCTGCTCCTTTGGCACCGAAAAGCAACCATCTAAGGCAGATGCGAAGAACATCCATGTCAAGCCCCCCCTCGGCGAACATCATGAGAAAAAGGAATCGATGTCCACGCTGAAGGGAACTTGACCGGATTTGCCGTATTACTTCTCTACATTACGGTGTCTTCGCAGACCCACGTGCTGAATGCACGAAGAAACGAAGCGGCTGGCCTAGTCTTTACCTGGGCATCATACAGCGGTCATTGCTACCCAAGGTATGCTACGCGTGATGATGAAAGATCCCCTGGTGTTAACCAGCACCCCTCTCGGATGGTGTTCCTGACTCGTGGGAGAAAAAAAAAATGCATTTTTTTCCGAATTGCGGCAAAGAAGAAAGACGTCCTTGAGAACTGAAAAATGGCCTCATCGAGACGAATCCATTAGAAGCCAACTGATTCGAGCTGTCACGACGCGCCCTGAATGCGGTCTTTCAAGCACCTAGCACAGTAGCTACACCCATCCGGGAAACAAGGGGCGTATAGAAATAAAAGCCCATAGACGCCCATAGCAGTGAGTGTAGAAAGTCAATAGGAGGGACAGCCAGCCCTTAGCCGTCCGATTTCTCCAAGGGAAGCCCTTCCAGTGGAAAAACTCGCAAAAGTCCCGAGTAGTCACCATCAGGAAGCCCACCATCATCATATTGACGTGCGAACGCCCTCACCCGTGTCCGAGGTCTGAAAAGATTTGGTCTAAGGCCTGAAGTCCAAAACCACGAGTGAAACCCCCTCCGCCAAAACTAGTACACGCACCTACGGTTCGGGAAGAAAAGATTACAACTGGGTAGGCTCGGTAGAGCGTGGAGAGACAGGACAGGAGTATCGGCTTCCTACCACCCTG